GTCGAACCCGAGAATCCTATTTAACATCAAAGAGTTTGAATTTGGACTTGTTTATAAAGATTGGGCCTCAGAAAACAATTATGAATCTTGTATTCGATTTCCAGGATTTAGTAATGGGTTTTATGAATATTGTTGGGTCTATTTGAAGCGACGACAAAAAAAAAGGTTTTAGATGCGATCATGCGAAGCAAAAAATTTTGTCTGAGAGTGGAGTTAAAATTAATGACGCCGTATTAGTAGAGGATGAATCTAGCTTGGTCCGCCGGACTATTAAGAGAGTCCGTTAAAGAACAACCAACAATTAAAGTATAGACCTAATGGGCTTTATTTTCAGCCCATGTATCGACTCATTATTGACACATCAGACACTTTTTTGGCTATCACATATTTGTTGAAACGAGAGAATACTAGAAAACAATCAAATTCTCTTAATTAACTAACACGAAATAAGAGAAAAGTTTACTTTTTAAACTGGCGTCTTTGTAAATTTTCAGAGTAACGAAATTAGGGACCAAGGCGCAATTAAAAGTTTGACTTTCCCACCATTCTCAAAGAAGATTTGCAAGATATAACTAATCGTTACGAGGTCTAGAAGGCTAGAACCCCGTGGTTATAAAAAAGACCCGTTTAACAAAATCAAGAACCGCAGAAAAATAAAATAAATTAAACAAAAACAAATGGCAAATGACCATGAAAAACAAAAATGATGAACGGACTTTGCAATGAAGACAAAAATCGATGAATAGCGTTGAAGAGTACAGGCTACTAACGGCAATAAATTATCTTTCGATTTCTTTCATTTATACAAATGCTGACTATAATCATTGGACTAAACTATCATCACATATATAGAATGATGTTAAATTTCCAATAAAGGAAAGTACACATAAGAAAGTATGTATAAGTTTTTTAATTAAGAAAGAACTCCACTTGGGCGAAACAACTTGCCACAATAACACTCAGTATCACAATGGATAGAAGGCCTAACTAAAGTTTCATTTAACTCGTTTTCTCACTTAGTTAGAGTATTAGACACGATCAGACAATGATTGGAAAACTGGGCAAACATAAATAAATTGAAGAAAAAAAAAACTATAAAAAGTTAAACAACAAGAACAATGTCTCATTCATCATAAAATTGCCTTGAAATAGCAAATATCATAAATAATTCTAGTCAGGTATAACGAAGAAAATCTTAGTTATGCAACTTGCAAAAGCATATACAAATATACGCGTGTATTGTATAACATTGTCCACATCCATGTTTTAACATTATCTACGTTTTGGAAACTAATGATGAATCCCTTGCAGCAAGTTGTGTCCGTAGCAGCCCTTTCTCATTCATGCCTGACAAATACTACAAAACAATAAAGTCGGAAAAAGAGAATATATATAATGGGACAGACCTTGATGATAACCAAATTTAGTTGTTAAAACTTTGATATTGTTTCTAATAGTCAAAGTATTTTAAAACTAATTTGATCGTAGAAAACACAATATTGTCCATAATATCAATACACAAGAACCTATCACTAATACATGAATAATCCAATCAGCGTGACGGATAATTATGATGGATAACAACCCCCGAGAAGTTACAGTCCACAAACTACATTATTCATCATAATTAGATGCTTTTAAATTATCTGGCCAATCCCAGGTTTCTAAGCAAATTGTGTATTTTACATAAAAAGAAAAGCAGGGGTTGGTATTAATCCATGGCGAGATTGAAATTATTAAAATTATATGTACCTAACATTTTACATGGATTTCCACTACGGCCGTTTTATATAATATAAAAAAGGAACACAATCTTTTTGTTCTGTGTCCGAATTCGAATGTACAATAATATATTTATTTTCAATGTAGCTACTAGCTAGCTACTCCATATATTAAAGAAAGAGAAGAGAATAGGAAGAATAAAAAAAGAATTAAAAAAATAGAAAGGTGACGTCAGGAAATAAGGAAGGGATAAGAGAAGGCACTATGAAATGTTTCCCCCATGTGATCTTCTTCAATCTCCGGCCCGCTCTTGTCTTGCTTATCATCCGTACGTTTTACAATATACTCCACTTTTCATCATTTTTTTAAAAATAACTTTCTTATTTTTTCATTTGACTATTTATTATTGTTGAGTAATTTCGAGGAATGTACGTATTGCGTACCAATTATCACGGAAAATCATATTAAAAGTTATTTGCGAAGAAAACATTTTATAAGTACTGTGAAAATATATTTTTAAAATTCATTTATAATTGAAAAGTCGTCGTACGAAAGAAAGTTATTAGAGCTTGTAGGTTACTGTTGTGGTTCTATACTTTTATTATTTTTGAATAGTGTTAAAGAAATTCTGATTTCATATGAAATTTGAAAATGTTCGTATTCCAATGTGTCCTTATGAATATAAAAATTCTGATTTCATCTGTTATTTATTTACTAATGGTCTAATGTAAAATACTTCTGAAATTATTTTATATAAGAAAACACATATAAACTCCAAATTATCTCTCTTTTTTTTTGTCTTCAAAGTATCTTTTCATTCATTGGAGGTTATATCATCCACTTGCATTCTTACTCTAGTCTTTTTTGACAAGGCATCTGCAATCCCATTTGGAGGATTGGAGTCATTTTCCTTGTGCTACATCTTTACATGATATTTGGAAAGTGTCTACTCAATGTAGCTTTGCATTTAGGAAACACCAAATTATCTAAGCCGAACTGTTGTAGTATTGTTTTAGCAAATAATATGTTTTTTTTTTTTTTGCTCAACTGAGTATAATATGTTTATTATATTATTTCACAGCTAAAAACAAAACAAATAAAAAGATAGAATGGCATGATCCCAAGGTTTCAGCGGTGATTGCGGTGCCCTCACATGTTTTCATATGACTACACAGTATTTTAAATTGTTTTTCGTGATAATATTATTTTTCAATACGAATAATACTTTCATTAGTACTTTTCACGATAAAACATAGAATTGACATTTAAAATATACTTTCATTAGTACTTTCATTAGTACTTTCATTAATACATATAATTGACATTTAAAATATTATACAAAAAGTAACATACTTCCAGTACAGATAAAACTTTTATTTCTTTTTTCATAAGTAAATTTATATTATTAAATTTCAAGTATTTATCAGCAAATAGCGATTAAATACTTACTAAAATTTTACTAATACTTTATATTACAAAACGTAAAATTTGATTTTTTATTATTCTTATTGGTAAAATATTTGTTTTTGTGAACCCACCTCTCATGTTTTGTTATTAGACGAGTTTCGTCGAAAAAGTACTGATGCGCTTGAAGGACCTTTAACAAAAAAACAAAAAAGAAGATAGTATGCATTATATATTTAATTGCCAATAAAATCGCGACATAAAAAAATAGCAGCAAAATAGTTTCTACGGAAAATGGTCGAAGAACCACGAAGCAATAGATAACGTCATCAAAGGAATTAGTACAGTCACTTTGTACTTTGCAGTGTAGGACGCACTTAAGACAACACTGTTTATTTTACATTTTTCGTAAAAGCAAACTATGCTAAAACTGTCTACAAGCATTGAATTACGTAGTCGCATGAATGAAATTAGTTTGTTTTTGACATTTTTCTGGTACTAATATTTTATTTCGGTGTGATGGGTTTAAAATTTGAAACTTGATACGATAGAAAGAGATTCGATTCGTCGATTTATTAACATTTGATATTTAATTTTATTTATATGGTTCCGTAATCGATAATTAGTGGACTTGAGCAAAAGATAAATCTCTATCGATCAGATTCGAGGAGTACTTGGATTAGAATATTAGGATCGACACACTGAATTTAACAAAAATTTAAAATGACTAATCGGAAAAATATAAGAATAAAATAAAAACAGTGAAATTAGGTCTTGAAGTTGATTGTTAAGCTGGAGGGGTCCAAGTGGTGGGGATGTGTTTCTGAGCACTTAGTTAAGAAACTTGCCACTGACGTCAATTTTCAATTGGAAACTTTAGTGCTAAATTCATAAAGTTTTTGTATTTTGAGGGCCCAAACTTGATCAAAACAGAATGGAAATTATCGGTATTGGGATCGTAAATTCGTAATTAAGGGTGGAGAGCTATTTGATGTCTAATTCGTAATTTAACCAAAATCACTGTTGGTGGTTAGACGTCAATTTCAGTTATTCCATAAAACAAACATGTCTCACTTTGTAAGAGTTTCAATACATTTGGCTTTATTATCCATTTTGCCTTAACCCATCCAAGCGCTATATATCTATTGGTGGGGGGAAAAATTATTGTTTCTTGTCCATACTGTAAGATGTAATAACTATATCATCTATATTCCAAAATATTTATTATTTTCAATGATTAATCTTGAAGCTTCTTATTGTAGCGCACAAGATTGAAATCTTATTGATTTTCTTGCTTTTTTCCAATTAAAGCATCAAACGTGGTTGCATAAAACACCTTTTTAAAACTGGATTACTAATTAAAAAGGAAGTGTGAAGAAAATGCAATCTGCGTTGGCTATTTCTAGTACAATTCAAACAAATCTCGAGATGTCCAAAACTGGCAGTAATCTATTATTTTGGTATAAACAAAAAGAAAAAGAAAGAATATTAGTTTTTTCAGTTTTGTTTATTGTTTCTTATATGTGACCAAGGAAAACAGAACTGAATCAGGACATCGACATCGAAGATATCGTCTGACGAAACGTGCCATGTGTTTAGTTGTTGCATACATAGGTAGTAGCTCAAATCGATGTGAAATGTTAATTAAAACATAAAAAACAATATAACCATGCAATTTTCTTCTCTCCTTTTTTTTTAAGGTATGTAATTTTATAGTTTTTTGAATCGATCAAACATTTACGCTTTCAAAGTTAACCTCAAATTTTATATTGTTTTGTTTAATAGTAGTACCATCCGAGAGAGATATATATATTATATATATATATTTTTTTTTTTCGCACAAACAAACCACTCCAACCGAATGCAAAAATAAATAATCAGTGAAAAAAATTAGAATGTAATTTATGATCCATATGTACATCAAACCAAGATATTCGACAATTTGTTTCCTCCTTTTTCTGTTATCTTATAGCTAATTAAATCTAATACAGAGGAACGGGAAAACGCGGCGGCTTAACAGGCGGCGAGTGCGGCGGACTTTGGACATCGACGATAAGCTTCTCCGGCCGAGGTGGTGCACAGGGACACGGCAATGCTATAAATTTCGGCGTATTATCTCCAGGCATCAACACCGGTACGCTCAGATTCTGGTTTTTCTTCAAATCCTGTTCATCATCAGCATTTTTAGTTATTACTCAACTCACTGCCTTCAAAATTAGTTATAAAATGACCCCTATTTTGTTTTTACTTTATAGTTTAGTAACTAAATTTTGCCAAATTCGCCCACTAACCCCCAATACTTACAATTTCATCAAGATAAAGTTAATTGCTTTTTTTTTTCTCTCTTCCTAACTTACTTTCCGATTTTCAGAAGCATGTATAATAAGCCCCTACTTCCTATTTACTTAGATTTATTAACTAAAATCTTTCAAATGTCCGGAATTACTATTTACTATTTAGCACTTGAAAATCTTTTCTTCTTTGTTAATTAATTAAAATAAATTACTATTTTAACTATAATAATTTTGGCTACACGATTCAAAACTGAAATCTTGTATGAGATATAGAAACAAAAATTGAGTGGTAAAATTCTTGTCTTTTGTTGGTAAAAATGTAATCTATCAAGCTCCAAAAAATAGGAACTAATATATAATTTCAGAATTGGGGGGGGGGGGGGATTTTACCGGAAAAGAGGGTTTAGGTTTGAACGGAGAGGACTCTATGTCGGCGGAGGCGGCGGAGGGGTGACCGGAGGCATTGGCCAAAGAACGGCGGATAGAGCGATGTTTGTCCCAATGATAACAGCAAGAGAATATTCCGGAGAGGCTGAAAATGATTATGAGAAGCAGAGCTGTGCCGAGAGGGAATCCCAGTGACGGCCGAGAAGCGTCGATATGCGGCGGCGAGAAATCTTGAGTGTTCTCCATCTACGGTGGCTATATAATCAACGGCTGAGATTGTGAGCTGATTTTGTTCTCTCATGTGTTAGAGAGAGAGAGAGAAAGAAAGAGCGAGAGAGTTTGTGATTTTGGTGAAGACAGGGGACGGGGAAGCAAGAGGAGATAGGGAGCGTTTATTTATAAAAGAATTTTTATGGGTGCTTTTATTATTTCTAGTTTTTTTTTTAATGTTTTATTTACAACTGTTAAAAAGTTTTCCCCAGTACAAAAAGCAAATATGCTGTACAATAAAGTTGTCCCTTTTCTTTTCGCGTTGAAATTATTATTCCCATTAATTAATTATTATATCATCAGAGGGTGGATATTTTTTTTCAAAATTACAAGGATCATGTTTCTTGACTTTCTTGAACCCTTTCTATTGATTTTTTTTTTCTCGACGAACCCTTTCTATTGATCATTTTATTACTTTACTATGCGGTGATTTCAATGTAATTTTTTTGTTCCTCTACTGGAATAATGAGTGAGAAAAATGATTTTTGAATTGAAATATCTTATCCCAGGATGATAATAGCAACCTTTTATTCCTTGGAGATGTTGATAGGAATAATATGGGAGGTTCTTTTACAAAAACGAAGACGGAGACTTCCGAAGCTGGTATATACATATATTTGAAGTGGAAAAAAACGAAACAAAGTGGGATTTATAAGATAAAAAAACAATATGATTATACGAAAATATTCTGATTACGAAATAAAAAGATAGAACATCTACATCATAGTGACGTGGTCACGTGGAACAACATAGTTAATAACGAAAATTGTTTTCTGATAGTCCTTAAAATGAGATATATTCAAGTTTTACATATATATATTTTTTAAAAAATGTATTATGTTTCCAGTATTATATGCGCATGACAGGTTAATAAAAAAAATTCGACAGTCAATTATATAAGATTAATTGAGTATGATGAAATCGTAAGAAAAGGAATCAAAATCAAATGGTTAAAAAATGATCGTAAAAAAGAGTGAAAAAGGGGAGAGAGAGAGTGGAAAATGTACGTGGAAAGAGGAGAGAGAGAGGCTGCCTGTACGGAGAAGACGTGGGCTCCAAGCGCCACCATGTTAACATATTTAATCTTTTTTTTTTTTTGGCTTGCTCTTACCTAATCTTCATGAATTACCCTAACCATACTCTTATCTCCATTAGCTACTCCTACCATATATACTTAAAAGTTTTCCTCTTGTCGGTCTCATCTTTACTGCTTCACGAAATAATTTACTATTTCAAGAAAGTTGAAACATTTCTTCACATTTATGCAAGGCACTCATGTGTTTTCTGGTTAAATACAAATAAAGTCGGGCTAGATAGACAGAGTATTGAAACTTTGTTCTTAGTTTAAAAATTAAGGACATAAAAATTGCTGTATCATTTGTTAATTTTATGAATAAGTACGTTAGCTCCGCTGATGATATTATATTAAATTATAAGAATTTTCATATTATTATTTGTTTAATAGAGTTGTAGGCATTTTTCAATACGAGGAAAACTATGTGCCTGTACGAATACTATTATGCTATCAAATCAATACCGGCTATCGCATGATTTGTCTCTGTTCGTTCGATTTGTTTTTCAACTATTTAAATATATTTGATATAGATTCTTACATCTTATTACATAGCACTCCCTGTATTTTAACTATTTTAAAATAAAAATAAAAATAAAAATAAACAGTTAATAAAAGCTAGAAATCAGTTAAAATGGTAATAATACGTATAAGAAAAAAAAAAAAAAATCTAAAACATATGTAATAACTAAAAACGGAGAGAGTACCGGCCGGCCATGTGCATTAACTTTATGTGGGCGCGTGTTAACAGGCAAACCCAACCCAAGTTGTAAGTTGTTAATTTGAGTCCTCCTTGATCGTACGTACGTCTTTCTATATATTTTTTTTTTCTGTATTCACTATCTTTTCTTAAAAAAATAAAAATTGGAATTTAAAGGTGTTCGTAGTTCTTAACTTCAAAACAGATGTAATGTGGAATTGACGAATTGTGTTTGGTTCCTACACCGTCCCAAGACAAAACAGTCCCCACTTAACAGTTAACACCTAAATATGTCTCCTTCACAGAGATTATATACGCTCTCTTTATTTTCAACTTTAAGTCTCTCCATCTCAGCACCGATTTCATTTTATTTATTTATGATCAAAATTTTAACAAAAATGTTGGTTTCCATGCCCTTCATAGTTTTTGATTGATTATGATATTGATATACAATATATAATTGTTACAACTTATAATCAAGAGATGACATCTACAGTATTTTTTTTTTGTTGTGATTACGATATTGTCGAAACGTGGTTCATTCATAGATTATCCACATGGAAGCTATAACATAAAATCCGGAATACAAAATCCACAAACAAAAAAGAAGTAAATCCTAATAATAGTATTTACTCCCATCAAACAAGACCCATGATATATGTAAATCTCTTTGAAAACAAAAAAAGAAAAAGCCAAATCTTGTAATATATAGAATTATCTCCAAAATTTGTTCGGATGACTATGAAACATACTTACGTCAAACGTTTGCGACTTTTGCCGGCACTGCGTATCACCTTTTTCTTTCTTTAAAATTTGTCAGTTTAATTACAAAACATTTATTAGAAAATGGATTTAATATTTTTATGAAGAAGTAAATCAAGAAATTGCAAATAAAGCAAAACCTTTACGACTCAAAACTACCACACTCGATTTTGAAATTACAAGAATGGACCTCAGCGTTTTAAGGTTTTGGTCCTTGGCCTTTTGAGTCCGTAAGGGACAAAATATCGGTCCATGACCTTTTTAATGACTCAACGACTGGAAGTACAAATCGATGATAAGATATGATCATGGAATAGCTTATTTTTATTTTATTTATGTTTGACGCTTGTGGATTTATAAACGTAACATGTTTGATTGTTGAAGATACCCTATAAATGATATGGAATACTATATACGATAATTAAATATTTGTCACATGGGACAGTATCAGTAACCGTATGCATATTATTTAAGTCAAAATTTAAGTTAGATTTTACGGCTGCTATAAAATCTCATGAAAAACAAAAGTGTGGCTGCCGTGTGGAGCTCGAATTTGACAAATCCCTTACTTTTATTCTGACTTCGATTTTTTTTTTTTTTGGTTTGTTATAGCTGTATTTTGTTTTTGCAGTTTTGATTACAAATAACGCCAAAATTCAGTTATTTCTTTATTATTATTTTTTTGCGTTTCAACTTTTAAAGGTCTCCAAACTTTTTTACTTCGATTTAAAAAACCCAAAAAAAAGAGAGTTTATTTTCGTTTCTTCGAGATTCAAACGTTTCACATTGACATGAGTAGTAAAGTATTCCACTCTGGTAGATTGCTAGTTTGCTACCCATATTTTTTAACGGTTGTATTAAAATTTAAACAACATCCATTTATTAAACTACCATTGTTTCTTTGCATTCTTGCGTTATTCTAATCATCATCACATTTGATATATATTATAAAACATAAAATATTATAGTTTTACAGATATACTTGAAACTTGGAAGTAGCTTGCTACTTTTAATTGTCTGAACTGTAAATGGGTCACCGCTGTGTCTTTTAAGGTCAGTGAGTATGTGTATCCACTAAACCCAGCTTACACTTAATATTTCACAACTTGTGTTTTTGCTTCCTATCAAAAATAAATTTCCCTTAAACGTTTTTTTAAACCACCATATTCATATATATATGAAAAGGGTCAATTAGTTTTTCATATACATAACTTAATGGACTGCATATTATCTGCTGATACTATCTCGAGAATGGCTTATTATATCGAGAAAAAATATTTAATATACATTTATAGCTCTTATTTGTATAGAAAAAAATCCAAACATATTGCACAAGTGAAACTAAGCTGTATGGGACCATGTTGATAAAGACAAAGACCCTAGGCGATAGGTACTGATCCTAACACAGATGTTATTCAATTTATATAAAAAACCGTTTTTTTATTTTCTTGAATCCAATTCATATACAGCTAGATATATCTATAATTCTAAATTTATCTTATGTTGATAATTTAGTACGAGGGATGAAATATCTTACGCGATATTTATATGTGAAAACTCGAAGGTGTATTCGATTCTGTTCAAATATATTTTAATGGTTCTCTCCTACATTCATGATCACGCCTTGGTACATTGTCTTATACGAATTCCCAAACCAAATTTATTATTTCCCTTACTTTATTGCGAAGATCATTTTATTTTTTTGTCGTCGCGAAGATCATATTTAATTGTAGGTCTTATCACCGTATTATAAGACGGTACACATATACAAATTGAGAATAATCAATTAGTCGTGTTGTGTATAAAAAATATCGAATACAAATGGGCGAATATTAAATATAAACATTGACATTTGACAGCAACGTTACTTGACTGGCTTGCGAATAAATATCCTACGTGCATACGAAATTAAAACGAGAGAAAAGTATTAATGGGCCTGAAGCAGTAAGATGGAAGTATTTTATGGGCCTATTATAACGTGTGACTGATTAAATAAGGCCCAAAGTCACATGTAGCTTCTGTTCAAGTCTGGAGACTGGACCCAAGTAACAGTCTAACGTGTCTTGTCGTTAATCTCCTTCTTTGTTTAAATTAAATAGATAATTAGTTTAATTAACTGTAGTGGATCAATCATTAATCAAGACTATTAAAATAAGCGTGAAGGACAAAAGCACTGTAGGCCCCATTGTCTTGTCTCAACCCGCATTATTTGTACTCGCAGTGCTAATCTGATCTACTGTTTTACCTTTTTTTTTCTTGTAAAATTTTAGCTCTATTATTATTGTTCTTTACTAATCACTACCCTGTATTTTCTTATAAAATTTTAAGCTATAAGTTTAATTTTTTTATTTATTATTTAAAACAAACCAACCATTAAAAGAATTACACTTGTTCATAGTATATTAAATAAGTACAAATTTTGCAATTATATATATAAAATAAAATAAAACACGAACAATTTGCGCGACAACATTTTATATAAGGGAACAGAAAAAGTACTATTTAACTTCTATTTTTTTGGCGGCAATCACTACTATTTAATTAGCAACACAATTTTTTGAAAAATACTACAAAATAAACTCTAATTTCCACAATAAAATTCCATTTTCTTCCCATTTCTTAGCATAGAAAAATAATGTAGTTTTGTAATAATATACTGTTTATTTTTAAAATCCTTTGCTTAGTTTTGTAATACTAATCACTACCCTGTATTTTCTTATAAAATTTTAAGCTATAAGTTTAATTTTTTTATTTATTATTTAAAACAAACCAACCATTAAAAGAATTACACTTGTTCATAGTATATTAAATAAGTACAAAATTTGCAATTATATATATAAAATAACATAAAACACGAACAATTTGCGCGACAACATTTTATATAAGGGAACAAAAAGAGTACTATTTAACTTCTATTTTTTTGGCGGCAACCACTACTATTTAATTAGCAACACAATTTTTTTGAAAAATAATACACAATAAACTCTGATTTCCACCCCCCACTTAATAAAATTCCATTTGTTTCTCATTTCTTAGCGTAGAAAAATAATGTAGTTTTGTAATAGTATACTGTTTATTTTTAAAATCCTTTGCTTAGTTTAGTTCTTCTTATTTTGAATTTTACCATATGTTTTTTTGTCTTGCTTTTATCATCAAAACCAGTTATTTTATTTGTATATATCGTTTCTTCATCTTTAGATATTAATATATGCATTGTTTATTTTATAACAAAACATGAGGAAGAAATTTTGTTAAGCTTTTACGGAGGATGTTAAGAAAACTTGTATACTTTGTGACGGTGCAGAAGATTTTTTTTTTCTTTCTTTTCTTTGTGCATAAAGATTTGAAGACTTTGGTTTGGAGATATAGTTTACGGTCTTTAATTCGCATCTTTTGCAAAAAAAAAATAAAAAATAAAAAGAGAGGGGGGTAATAAGGTAACGTGAGAGGTACGGAAGAGTCATGATTAAAAACAGTCAGAAAAACAAATGATGGACGGACATAAGCCTCCCTTGCATAAAAATCCAACGGCCAGATCTTTTGTTTCCCATGCGTGTTCCCATTCCCATTTTCACCTCCTGTTGCTGTTATTATTATACCCCCCCTCCTGTTGCAAACATATACTATAATTTAACATTATGAAAATAATTAAACCAACAAAATTTTAACGACGATTTTTTTGTGTGTATCTCATTAGTAACTTACGCGTAGTCCTGACTCCTGGGTTGAGCGAATGTAAAACATATTCAAAAGATGTGTTTGGACATCTGCAAAATCAATAAGCCAATATGTAGATTATCGGAAAAACTCATATGCTTCTAAAGTTTTCATCAGTTTAACTATTAAGTCAAGTACGTAAGCAGTAAGAAAATAATAAGTGATTAAAATTACTCATACCATATACATTCATCTATCTAGAAGACTAATGAACCCAAAAAAGAAGAAAGAAGAGAAGGTAAAAGAAATGTGAAAAAAAAAATTTCAAGTTTGGGGGACTAACATTTGTCTATTGGGCCCCATCCAGTTGGGCCAATCTAAGTAAAAAAAAAAAGAATGATAAGGAAGTGCAATAATGAAAGTTAAAGAAATTAGGAAGGTGGCGGATTTAAATTAATTAAATGGAATTGAAGGAAAGATTATCAAAAAGATTAAGATTAAAGGAGGAAATTAGAATAAAAAGTGGAGAGAGAGAAAGTGGAGGAGGTTAAATGTCCCATTCACCACCCGGCAAACCGACTTGGAATGCCGCTTTCCTGTCCCCTCTCACTCCTCTTTTCCCCATCCTGTAATTACTTTTCTACCCTTCACACTTTGATCCTCAAACAATGCGTCGTCATCAGCGTATGAAGGGCATTTTAGTCGTTTACATCAGAGGATAGAATCGGAATTTAATATTTGCAGACAACCATCCCCTTTCGGGTGGAGCCAGAAAGAGGATAAATTTTTTTTTATAAAAGATCCCAACTCCCGACAGTACATCAACGGTTCACATCCGTTGGTATTTCTCTTCTGGATTAAATAAGAACCGTCGGATCAGAATCCGTCATAAAGAAACCGTGAACAAAATATTGCCCAACTTTTCCCCACTTATTTCCCATTCTGCCACTTTCTTTAATTTTGCTGTTCTTAGTTTTTATATTTATTTCTTTTTTCATCTCGGCTACGAGTTTCTGGGTGATGATAATTAAAGCTTTTCTGCTTTAATGGAAGGACCTTGACACCTTTCTCTCTCTCTCTCTGCTAGTCCTCTTCTAATTATTCTCTTCTCTGCGAATATCTGACCGTAATCGATCGTCTTCTTCGGCGTGAGCTCCGTTTTCATCAGCGATTTGTTTTCCTTTTTTTATTTAGGTAACCATTTCTTCTCTCTTCTTGGATGTTCAAATTCATGTAATCCAGCTTCGTTTTGTAGATGTTTGTGTGTGAATATGTGTTAGCAGTTACTAGATCTACGAGCTATTATAATTATTTTTTCACACTAAGGGGTTAATATCTATGGCGAATTGCGGTTTCCGTTAGCTTATCCGCATGGCCTAAACACGCTCGGTAATCTCTAGTGACTGTTGTAGATACAAATCGATCTTTAAGGTAAAATCTGAGATCAGCTCAAGTTCTGCGTCTGACCCTGAGTTGACTTGTTTTTTTTTTTGTTTTCAGCAACTTTTTGGTTGTCTGTGTTTAGAATCCTTGATTCCGAAGCGGTTCTCCTAGTTTTGACTGATTTAGAAGAAGAATTTTTCCTCGTGTCTAGAAATATGGTTCTGAGTTTCTTCGAGCCTGGAATTTTGAAGTTCTTGATTTTTTTGTGAGTGTATGGTTATGTGAATTTGGTGTGGATGAGTTAATGCTGTGTAAATCAGGTAAGCTGCTTTGCAGTGTGGAGAAACCAAAAGAATCTAAATGTGTCCAGAAGAGGAGCTACAGAGCAATGTCTCTGTGGCAAGTTCTTCACCTACTAGCAATTGCATCTCGAGGAACACAGCAGGAGGAGGACTTAAGGAGCATAACTACTTGGGTCTGTCTGATTGTTCTTCTGTTGGGAGTTCAACTCTCTCGGGCCTCGCAGAAGATGACAAAGCCACTATCAGTCTCAAAGCCACAGAACTGACTCTTGGCCTTCCCGGACCACAATCTCCTGCTAGAGACACAGATCTCAACTTACTGAGCCCAGCAAAGCTGGATGAGAAGACCTTCTTTCCTCTGCTTCCTTCGAAAGATGAGATATGCTCCTCCTCTCAAAAGAACATCGCCTTAGGAAACAAAAGAGGCTTCTCTGACGCAATGGATCAGTTCTCTGAAGCCAAGAGTTCAGTGTATACTGAGAAAAACTGGATGTTTCCTGAAGTGGCAGCTACCCAATCTGTAACAAAGAAGGAAGTGCCACAAAACATACCTAAAGGACAGTCGATCACTACAAACAATAGCTCTAGTCCACCTGCAGCCAAGTAATGACCAGAAAATAGGATCATTCACCAGAAATTTGATATGCGTTTCTTTCATCTGCTAACGTTTAGTTTTTGGATTTGTAAAATTCTCAGGGCACAGATTGTCGGTTGGCCTCCGGTGAGATCTTACAGGAAAAACACATTGGCCACAACCTGTAAGAACAGTGATGAGGTTGATGGGAAGCCAGGCTCTGGGGCGCTCTTTGTGAAGGTTAGTATGGATGGTGCTCCTTATCTGAGGAAGGTTGACTTGAGGAGCTACACTAACTACGGGGAGCTTTCTTCAGCCTTGGAGAAAATGTTCACCACATTCACTCTTGGTGAGATGTTTCTGTGATTGCTAGTGATGTTATTGGTGGATCAATGAGTGCAATCTAGTGGTTAACCGGCATGGGTTTATCTGATGTTAGGTCAATGTGGAACTAATGGAGCTACAGGGAAGGATATGCTCAGTGAGACCAAGCTCAAGGATCTTTTGAATGGAAAAGACTATGTGCTCACTTATGAGGATAAAGATGGGGACTGGATGCTTGTTGGAGATGTTCCATGGGAGTAAGTTTCCTTTCCTATTTTGACAACTTCTTAGAAGATTTGTAATCTCTGACAGATATTGGACATTATCTTAGAATCTAAGCTAACACACAATAAAAAGATTGAATGGTCAACTGGAACTAAATGGTTTTTTTTCTTTTTTTTCTGATCTAATCTGCAGGATGTTTATTGATGTCTGCAAGAAGCTGAAGATAATGAAAGGCTGTGATGCCATTGGGTTGGGTAAGTATATTTCCAATCAAAACTACATTTTTGTTCTTCTTCTTCTTAAGTACAGTCTTAAGCCATTTCACAGATTCTAAGGTTTCAAGACTTGGTGATGTTTGATTCTGAAATGTCTTTAATAGTGATGAAATTGTGATATTTGCAGCTGCAGCTCCGAGAGCAATGGAAAAATCGAAGATGAGAGCTTAAAGACTGGAACATGACAAAATCAGCTTTCTAATTATACAACATATGTGAAATCCCTTTTGGTGGTGTTTTTAATTTCAAAACATCTACATCTTTAGTTTCTGAGATTATTAAGAATGAAAAGAAAAAAAGAAGACTTCCGTTTGTAAGGAAAATGAAGAAGAATTAAGAATGATCTATTTTTGCTCTTGTTGTTGCTGCTTGCTTTAGTCGAACCAGTAAACTGGTCGTGGTTTTTCTTGAGTCTGGTGTATGTTTTGGTTTGATTTCGATGTGGTTGGCTTTTATTTTTGGATATTGATTGTAATGTTATTCTCTCTCTCTCTCTTTCTTCCCCTCCCCTTTTTCCTTCTTCTTCCCCTTTGTTATCGGTTCGGTTTTTACGTTTTGTTTTTTCGGATTTGTAAAATTAATCTAAATTAAATAATTTGAGTTTCGATAGTGCTTGATAAAATTTTGGTTTCGTTTTATATTTCGTCCAAAAAAAAGTGAAAATTTGTAACTAGAATCGTTCCACCATGTCTCCTTTCTATCAATAGTGTTTTCTTCTCGGATTCAATGCCGGGAAGAATTTCCAACTTTCTCGCCGTCTTGTTATTTTGCGTAGCTGACGGCAAGTTTTTTTAAGACGAATTTCGGAGATGAGAACTAGTTTATAACTAGCGCTGTCATTTTGGTTCATTAACCGCGGGTCCCGCCCCGTTAAACCTGTCGCGGAGCGGGTGCGGATTGTCTAATTTCAACTTATGCGGATTAGAGATTATGCGGGTTGGAAATTGTTAAATGCGGGGCGGATGCGGGTGATGGTTTTTAGATAAACGGATTTGTGGATACCTGCATTTGATTTTGATTGGATTGTAATTACATTTTTTTGTTGGGTTATAATTGGATCGTTTCGCTTTTGGTGTTAAAATATAACGTTTGGGTCTTATAATATAATACAGCCCAAGAATTGATTTATTAAACCAGGATATATTTTTATAAATTTAAGACTCTCAAGACTCAAGAGCACGCCGTCTCTTCAACTCTCAACTCTCAAAACCCTAGATCGATTAAACTCTCAACTCTCAACTTTGCTTTTTCTAATTTTCTCTTCTTTTTAACAGATTCTGAGAATGGATCCGGCTAATCCAGCATATGGTGGTAATATGCCAAAGAATCCGACTGCTGCTAGTGAAGGATCAAGTTTACCTGCGGAGGAGTCTCTAGCAACTAAGAACAAGAGGAAAAAAACACCAGCGTGGGATAATTTCACTGTCATCACTAAGGTCAATAGTGAAGGTGTCTCTGAACTCAGAGCTAAGTGCAATCACTGCACTAAGGACTATGCTTATGAATCACACAAGCAAGGTACCTCTAATTATAACCGACATTCACTAGTGTGCATCAGAACGCCTAGAGATGGTGATGTAGGTGCTATGCTTGTTAGCGGAGAAGGGAAATTGCAATCTAGAAAGATTGATCAAGGTGTATTTCGTGAAATGGTAGCAAAGTGCATAATTGAGCATGATCTCCCCTTCTCTTATGTAGAATATGATAGAGTTAGGTTGATCTGGAAGTATTTGAATGCTGATGTGAAGTTTATAAGTAGAAATACAGCTGCAGCAGATGTTTATAAGTTTTATGAGATGGAAAAGTCAAAGTTGAAGGTAGAATTGTCTGAAATTCCTGGTAGAATCTCCTTCACATCTGACCTATGGTCTGCTATAACTGTGGAAGGTTATATTTGCTTGACCGCCCATTATGTTGATAGTAAGTGGAAGCTAAGGAATAAGATTCTGTCTTTCTGTGCCATGCCTCCTCCACATACGGGAATAGACTTAGCAATGAAGGTCTTAGAGATGTGGAAAGAGTGGGGAATTGAAAAAAAAGTATTTTCTCTAACCTTAGACAATGCTAGTAACAATGACAGCATGCCAAACATTTTGAAGAAGCAGCTGGTAATTCAAAACGACTTGCTGTGTGGTGGAGAATTCTTCCATGTCAGATGCTCTGCCCATATTCTAAATCTGATTGTACAAGAAGTATTAAAGGTGATGGGTGATGCTTTAGGAAAAATCAGAGATAGTATCAAATTTGTTGAAGCTTCAGAGGCTCGGGGTAAGTTGTTTGCAACCTGTGTGGATTCTGCTGGGATTGATGTTAAGGCTGGTTTAACATTGGATGTACCAACTCGCTGGAACTCTACATTTAAAATGCTTGATAGAGCTATTGTCTACCGTTTTGCATTTGATAGTTATGAAGGCATTGATCCAAGTTACAAGGCTCTTCCCACAGATTCTGAGTGGGAACTAGGCGTACAAATCTGTGAGCTCCTGCAACCGTTTGATGAGATAACCAACCGGATTTCAGGTTCAACTTATCCGACCTCCAACCTGTATTTTATGCAAGTGTACAAAATTGAGTTTTGGCTAAAAGCACATGAGTATAGTGGAGAAGCTGTTATTATCAATATGGTTGAGGCAATGAAAGGTAAATTTGACAAGTATTGGCATGACAAGAGTGAGATTCTTGCAATGGCGGCTGTTTGTGATCCTAGATTTAAGCTACAACTGCTAGAGTATTGTTACACAAATCTGGATGAGAGTACCTGTCAACAAAAAATGGAGCACGTGCAAGAGAAACTGAAACTGCTTTTTCAATCTTATTCCAAGCCAGCAGCTGAAAGTTCATCATCGGTGGCTGGAGTTGTTAATTTTCAGTCGCATGGGAAGGGTGTCATCAATTATAATGTAAGTGTTTCTATAGATATTTATGTTTTGCTAAAAAGATCTTACACATTATTTATTTGGATTGATGTAGGATTTTCACAACTTTCGCAAAAAGAATGTTAGTGCTAGTGGAAAATCTGCATTGGATAGGTATTTGGAAGAACCACTAGTAGACATGGAGATGTTTCCAACTTTAGATGTCTTGAGTTTTTGGAAAGAAAATTCTCATCGGTTTGGGGAGTTATCTAGGATGGCATGTGATCTTCTCAGCATACCTATAACAACGGTAGCATCTGAGTCTTCCTTTAGCATTGGATCACGGGTCTTAAATAAATACAGAAGTTGTCTTCTCCCACGAAATGTCCAAGCCTTGATATGTGCTCGTAATTGGCTTCGAGGTTTTGAAGCATATGACAATGGTAAGTCACATAATCTGTCTTATTTTTCAGTTATACTTTAATAGTTATGGTGATACTAATTTTGAAACTTTGTTTGAAATAATTAGATAATGGTGCATCCGATGGTGAAGATGATAACTTACCTTTACTAGAGTCGTTGGCTTCCACTTCGTAAGGAATACTTTGCTTTTGTTAGAATTACGTAGTTCTTATGCTAGCTGCAAACTTACTTTTTTAGTTTTTTTAAATACTTTATGCTTTTCATTAAGGTCTTACTAACTTGTATATTTACCAAATCCATTACAGGTGAAGTGAGAAACTCCATCAAAGAGCAACAAAAAAGACGAAATACAAAAATGACTATAAGAAGAGAAGAGATTCTTTTTCACCTCTTTGAAGTTTGTTTTTGCTTTAGTTTGAATTCTGTTATCACCTCTTTAAAATTTGTTTTTGCTTAAGTTTGAATAGTGTTTGGAGAAAAAGAACTTATCTTTAACTTATGCTGTATTGTAACTTAATCACTTATGTTTATTTCCATTTAAAACTTATGTTTCAGTCATGTATGATTTTTGAGTTTTTTTTTTTGAATTTTCATATGTGGCGGGTAAACCCGCAGACCCGCTTAATTAATTAGATGCGAGTGCGGGTATCCAATATATAATTTGCGGATTTTGCGGATCTTCTTTTGGCGGATAATTTTAATCCGAACCCGCGGCGGGGCGGGTCAGGCGGGGCGGATCCGACCCGTATGACAGCGCTATTTATAACGTCACTGCATAAAGTGACTAAATTTTAACATTCCGGCTCTGCTGCTAAAGTTTTGGCGCAAATGGATTCCTCAAATCAACATTTAGGAAACAAAGGAAGAAACATCATTGCAAATCCATTTTTCACCTTAGAGCCAACCCGCCGCATGATCTTATACTCCCATTTCTTGAGATAAATTGTTATTTTCTAAATGACTAAATCCGATCTTGATGGATTTGTTTTCGTAAAACCAAAAGAAAATTCTCACATGAGAGTGTGTAAACTCATCAAACTAATATATCCGAATGAAGATATCAGAAATTTCAACCAATCAGTTTTTAATTCAGTGCTTAGCTATATTTTTAATAGTATTTAATTCTAATTTTCTCTTAATTCTATCGTTTGATTCGTTTCGGACAAAATAATCAAATAAGATAGTTGATGGGATTGACTTATATATATATTCCCTCCGTTTCATAATAAATGTCGTTTCAGATTTCATTTTTTGTTTCAAAAAAGTGTCATTCTGCATTGTCAATGTAACTTTTTATTTTTATTTTCTGTTTTATCCTCATTTAAAGATTATAGTCTTTGTAATTAAATGTTATAAAAGTATATTAATTATGAATATATTTATATTTTTTTTAATTTCTTAATCTGTATGAAATGTGTCAGAATGACACTTATTATAAAATGGAGGGAGTAATATTCTTCCATCCTTCTCTTAATTATTTTATGTTCCTGAAGATGCGAACATAGTGCGCTTTTGGCTTTGGCGATGGTGGTTTGCTATTGTTTTAGTTATTTAGTAGTAGATTAGTAGTATTATATTACATGATACATTATTGCTCGTTTTAATGATTTCCGTTGGCGTTGACAAAACAATATCATTTCCATTATCCTTTAAAATAAACCCATCCAAATGAAAGGCTATATTCAAGTACCCATTTTGTCGAAAGAGACATTCATTAATCAATTTCAAAGCAAAAATTCGACCGAGGTAATTGAATAATCATATGCTGCGCCTCATAGCTTTAAAAGAATCTACGGGTCGAATTTAAAGCAGTTTTGTTAATTTAATCCAAACAATGGATATATATGTGTGATTCTTGTAGCTTCACGTGAAGTAAATAGTATGCACAAAAACAAACCAATAATCATTGGTCATAAACCTCATTTAATTCAATTTCGCTTTGATGCACTTATTTCGAATGGGGACATACTATACATTTACATAGTTGATCAACTATAAGGTATACTTAAAAATTTTAAAATATTAAATATGAAATAGACTTGGGGAATGACATGTCAATTTTGTCTCCAAATAATAGGAACTGAATTATGCTTCTCAACAGTGGAACGTGGCATTACATTTAACACTCATTTTTTGCTGGTTTTCAAAACTATCAAACGAAAATCGAGATGATTTGTGGGGGCTTTATCTCTAAATTCTAATTATGCTAATAGACCTGTAAATAATCCGTCAGCTAGCTTGTTGAAACTAAAAAGTTCGATTAACCGAAATTCCACCCGGCATGTGTTTCAGACAAATCATTGAAAACTTTAGAACCGAACCGTTCAAATGGTTGGTTTGCACAATGCTGGATTGGTATTCTATAAAAATATATCAACCTTCTATTCGTTCTGGAAATGGACCTAATGCCAATAAGTGCGTTAAAATCATATAAAATAATTTTGTTAAATGCATATACGATCATCACGTCAGAATGAATGTGTGTTTCGATTTGGTAGACGTTCAACAACCCACCGAATTGATGGTATCCATAGATTTCTTATCAGTTCTCAATCACGGGAGGTCATGATCTATTTCTATATGGACAAGATCGTAGCGGCATTATTATTGTTTGATTTAGGTTTCTCAAAGGTTTGATTGGCAAATTTGTCCCGACAGACCAAGTAGTGTATGCATATTTGTGATTGTGTAGGGCATTAAAAGATCTCATGCAGTTTGAAATCCGTAATTATAATTTTGATATACTATTACTAGTAGCTCTTTAACATATACTCATTTATTTTCGTAAAAATATATATTTCGACGAGTTTCTTTTTTTTTTTTGGTCATATATGGTTAAAGAGGTATTTGCGCATGTTAACAAAACACTTAACTAAATGATCCCAAATGTATCACGGGTTCAAATCTTTCTATTGCAGTTTCAATCATTATTGATAGTTGCAAACATCGTTTTTTGGGTCTAAACAATTGCAAACACTTAAAATAACAAAAATACTTGGTTTGTCATATAGGTCCAAAATAAGAAATATTAAAACCAAATAATTTTCAACCAAGACATATAAATTTAGTATCATATAAATCCACCTATAAATTTGTAAATCACCTATTTTGATGAAAACTTCGTACCTTGACCATCTTCCGAAGTTCTAAATAATCTACTGATCAAATGCTGTAGGGGCGGATTACTCTACATTCAGCCACGCCACAGTGACCCCCCGAAGCGATCTGCCTCATTGCAGGACGAAATCCGGCAGCCAATTGCTGGCTCTGAATAACCAGCCCAGCAAGAAGTTCAATTCTTCCATAACATAACGGGAAAAACAGAAATTAGATTTGAATCTTCTTATCTAATGGAAAGAGTATTAGTTGTTTGACCAAAGAAAAAAGAAAGTTTGAGTATTAGTTAGTATCTTAGTACTGAATAACCACCCGAACTAATCTTGATCCTTGAATAGTTACATTCATGCATGTCAGTATGTGGCTCCTTTGCAAAATTCCGAAATACCTAAGCCACAAACTCCAATCATTTATATTTTGGAGTTTATACCATTGAATTAATAGAGAATCGTCTTAATCACTATATCAGCCAATAGATTTAAAAGGCTTACAAAAGATTAAAAAATAATAGAACTATCGTAGTCAAAGAAAAACCACCATTTTGCCACAGCAAGAATTCAAAATTTGATGGACCAGTCTAATCTTTATGTCATATCATTAGCTCTTGTCGTCACCATGTAATTTATATCATCTGGATCTTTCGAAATGTAGACAAATATAAATGATTTTGTTACTAATAAAATAAAAAAAAGCCAGTTCGGCATTTCTCCATCAAACATCCAAACTTTTAATATCCCAAACCCACAAAACTTTAGATTCATCCAGTCAGCTTATAGACATAAGATTATCCGAAAGATTATAAGTAAAAAAAAGACTATCTTCTGATTTTTGAGCAAACAAGTATATGACTATTATATATATCTTAATTGGAGTTAACAAAAGTTAAACTCAAATGAAAGTAAAACTGTAGAAGTAAATGTGGAAAGATACTTGACTTGACAGAGGGTACAGTCAGACAAATAAATACCTCTAGACCTCAGACCTCTGGTCCTCTACGACGCAGTTTTGTAAATTTCTCTTTTTCAGTTGCTCGAGTTCTAACGTCACGTGCCACGTGAATTTTTGTTTGATATTTAGTGAAAAAAGAAAAATATCAGAATTTGCATTTCGAACAATTTAACGAATTCGATAAACTTCGTTCGATATAACCATATTGGAAAGTCAACTAGCTTCACGTATTTATAGTTGTTTTTAAAGAATTTGGGAAAAGAAATATTTATTTACATGCAAAAATGGAAACGAAGATCTCCGCGTCTTTAGTTAAATGGAAATCTCTCATATGCATATGGTCGGTTACAGCGTTGACTTTTAAACTTTATTGTTCATCCCAATGAAACATAATGAAGATATGTAACCTTTATAAACAAGGATTATAAGTTGAAAAAAAAAAATACTTTGACGAAGGGGACGTAACGAATCAGTGATTCAGTGATGATTTTCTTCGAGGCAAAAATTAGGAAAGATCTAGATGCAAATGGAAAACAAAAGCCACTTCAGACGCATAAAGTCACATTTTTTTTTACCTTATAATATTGCTACAATTAAGAAATATTAAAAGTTTCGAAACATCACTAAAGAAGAAAGTCTCTCTCTAGTCTTTATCCTTATTTAATTTCTCCATCTTCCTTATGATCCATGCCCAAAGTCCTTCGTCTTCTATAATAGTTACTTGGAGAGAAAAAAAGAAGAAGAAAGAAAGACTTTTTTTTTCTTCGTTTCTCTATTATTATTCACCGGAAAATGGTGTTTGGTTGGAGAAAAGCGTTTTGCACATCCGCTTCAAGTAATCAAGAGAAACCTCAACAATCATCATCACACATTCTGAACACAGATGCTCCTCCAATTTCCACCCCAAGATTCCGATCCAAGTTTGGGTTTTTTTCAAACCCATCAACTCCACGTCTCCGATCTCGTGGCGACGGTGGTGGCATTGGATGCCGCTCCGCCGACTCCACAGCAGTCACTACCCCTTTGCTTCCCACTAGCCCCAAACTCCATTGCAGGACAACGAGCAACGCTACTCCAAGGAGCAGTAACAGCTCAACCCCTAAGTTTTTCTCTAACCCTTCTTCTCCTAAATTATCTTCTCCTTCTTCTTCTTCCCATGGCGGCGTTTCTCTCCTCCGTGCAACGCTTCTTCTAAACAAGGTAAAAATGATAACTTTGATCTGGTCAGTTTGCTAATGTCATAGTTTTTTTCAATGGGTTAACTCATAATCTAAATCTCTGTTTTTTTTTTTGGGGTGATGCAGAGTAATAATAACAACAGATGTGGGATTTGTCTGCAGCGAGTGAATTCCGGTCAAATCGATTCGACGGCGATTTTCACGGCGGAGTGTTCACATTCGTTTCACCTCTCCTGCGCCGTTAGATTTGAAGATAAACGTTGTCCGTTTTGTTCCGCCGCGTGGAGTCACGCACCGAAGTCGGATTCTCCGTCTGTGATAATGGGATCCGACCCGATTAGACGACCCGCTATCCGAGAAATAAAAACCGGGAAATCGCTGAGAGTTTACAACGACGATGAGCCGTTAACTTATTCGCCGGTTTCTCTTGCTCAGTTCAACACTATACCGGAATCAGACGAAAACGACGACTTTGACGAAGATGATGAATTTCCTGGATTCTTCTCGGATTCTTCGATTACGCCTGCGTTGTCTGCTCCGCTTCCCTCAATCTCGGGGAATCTGGAGGTTAAATTGCAGCCGGAATCCGCCGTTGTGGAAACCGGGAAAAGGGTCGAGACGCACGTCGTGGTTATGAAACTGAAAGCGTCTCCCTCTTCCATCACCGATGCGATTAAGGCGCGTAGGCCATCGATAGATCTGGTAACGGTTCTCGATCTGAGCGGCGGCGATGCGAATTTACAGACGATTAAGCACGCGATGCGATTAGTGATCTCTCTGCTCCGGGAGCTGGATCGGCTTTCTATCGTCGTGTTCTCGACGGGATCGAAACGATTAATGCCGTTACGACGGATGACGGCGAAAGGACGCCGATCGTCGCGGCGAATCGCCGACGCACTCGTCGGGATTGAAACAGCAGGCGGCGTCGCAATGAGCGTTGACGACGCACTGAAAAAAGCGGTTAAAGTCGTTGAAGATCGGCGAGAGAGGAACCCGTCGGCGAGCATCTTGGTTTTATCGGACGGTCAGGATCAACCGGAGGCGGTTTTAAAAGCTAAGCTTAACTCCAAGCGAGTGCCCTTCGTCGTGTCCACCACGCGCTTTTCTCGTCCTGAGATCCCGGTTCACTCAGCTTGGATTGCTTCTCCGAGCGCGTTGCATCACGCGCCTATTCGAGACGCGTTCACCGAACGAATCGCTTCGTTGTTGAACGTGGCTCTCCGTGACGTGAAGCTCAATCTAGGTTTGGTCTCCGGATCTCCGTTGACCGAAGTATCGGCTGTTTACTCTCTTACGGGTCGGACCGAGAGCTTCGGATCCGGGTCGCCCGTTGTAGTCGGCGATCTGTTTGCTGAGGAGGAGAGAGAATTTCTCGTTGAGCTCAAAGTACCGACTTCGTCGAGTGGGTCCCACCATGTAATGTCCGTACGGTCTTCGATTGTTGACCCCACGACGCTTCAGCCAATGGCTTGCCCTCATGAAAAACGGTTTTTGATCCCGCGGCCACAGACCGTCCGATTCGTATCTTCGAGCATCGAACGGCTTAGGAGTCTTTACTCGGTGAGCCGCGCTGTAGAGTATTCACGCAAGCTGATTGAGAGTGATGATTTAGCCGGTGCTTATCAGGTTCTAACGACGGCTCGGTCCAATGCGTCACACGCGGATGATAGCTTAAAGAGCTTGGAGGCTGAGTTAATTCAGATAAGCCGGTTTAAAGCAAGAAGCGGTTCAGCAAACCAAGCCGAAGAGAAAACCGAGCAACTTACGCCGACTTCGGCTTGGAGAGCCGCTGAGAAATTAGCGAAAGTGGCTATCACGAGGAAGCATTTAAATCGAGTCAGCGACATGCACGGCTTGGAGAACGCCAGATTTTAATTTTTTTTTTTTTAATTTCAGTGATTTTTGAAGATATGGTATATAATTATTATATCCAATAATTTAGTAAGATAGTATAAAAAAGTATAAAATTAATTATAGAAGTATGATTTTTAGAAAGGGACCCAAGGTGCATGATAGCGACAAGCAGTAGCCGACGGGTGTGGCCTTTTGTAATGCAGAGATTGGAACCCTACATGAGAATTAATTGGTCTTTCCACTCTTTTATCTTTTTATCTTTTTTCTTCCTTTTTGTAATTTTCAGAAAATCCAAATTAATGACTGAAAAAGTGGAAAAGATTGTAGAGACAAATAAATGAAGTATGCTTTTGGTATATAAAAGGAAGTAAAAAAAGGGAGGTGTTACAGGTGTAGTGGATTATTAGAGGGTGTGTTTGCAACGCTGGACTTCAAAATCAAAAGTAAAATATGTATATACTTTTCCTATTGTATTATTGTATATGATTTCATAGAAATGATCATCATTAGTCATGTGATGATCATCATTATTGCCTATTTGTTTATCGAAAACCTCAAAAAGAAGACGAAAATGTATTCTTGGTGGTTCTATAATGGTCCCGTTCTATATTACTGATAATGTGTGTTAGGTGATTCCTCTACATAATAAACCAGATTATAAGAAGTTGATAAATTCTTTATCAATATATTAACATTATATATTCTTTTATCAATATATTAGAAAGTATAAAATTGTAACTCTTTGGAAAATAAAAAACAAATCTTAAATGATAATTCAGATACTAATATATTTTTGTGTGTTATTAAATGGATTACATGATTAACTATGTGGAAAGTCCACCTCTCGACGTGATTCCAAACTGGCTAGTGGCCGAAGAATCTCGAACTAATTGTCAAATTTCACTTAAATACTATTATATCTTTCATACGCAATTACATACTGCATACAAATAATGACCAAATTCTAATTTTCTACTAATCAAGGAGAGAAATAATACTCTACATCAATTAGTTGGAATATCTTGCTTCAATGGTTAGATGTTCATTTATTACTCAAAAATCAACTTAACGAGAGTAGTATTAGGTTGGGTATGGTTTGAAGTTTTAAAACTCGGATATATTGCTTACAATGTTTAGCCGGAGATACTTGAGCATCCACGAAATGTTGGTGAAGCTAAGGTGTCCAGACAAGAGTCACAAGACATAACTGCATCATTGTTCGGATCGGATGGGTAACATGGGTTCCTTTACAACAATTCTCAAAACTATATCCGTTGAATTCGCTGAAAACTTAGCTGACACAACTCCGATAGTGTTTTTGGTTGTGTAAGCCATCATCGTATAAAATTTTGAGCTGAAATTTCTATACCAAAACATGTGTAAGCCCGCTAAGATAAAAATGGATCTAAACCCATTAATATACTCCTTCCGTTTTATAATAAGTTATGTTTTAGATTTTATTTTTTGTTTCAAAAAGAGTGTCATTCTGCATTTTTAATGTAATTTTTTACTATTATTTTCTGTTTTATCCCTTATTTAAAAATAATAGTCTTTGTAATTAAATGTTATAAAAATATATTAATTAAAGGTATATTTGTATATTTTATTAATTTATTAATCTGTGTGAAATGTGTCAGGACACTTATTATAAAACGGATGGAGTATGAGTTTCAAGCTTTAACTTAAATATATACGGGAGTGAGACATTAAGACCCACCAATAAGATGACCCCAACAAATAAGATAACGATAACTGCATGTACTTTACAAACCAATTGCCAAATAAATGGACCTAGCCCTAACGCATGTAATTTAAGGCTAGGCATTAAGAAAAATAAGGGTTTTGTAAACCTTTTTTCCTCAAGCCTTTAGCTAAGTATGAAAATGCTTCTTAAATGTAATATTTTGTTGAGCCTAAGTTATGACGATAGATATTAGAGAATCAATTTTTATGTTGAACATATATTGATTTTTTTATAATTAATTTTAGATAGTAATATAGTTGAAAATAATAGTTTTTACAAATATAGTTTATATATTTTCGTTAGTTTTATAATTATAATAGTAATTTTCAGGATAATAAATAAAACAAAACTTAAAATATATACGTAGGAACATCCAAAACATTAGGTTGTTTTAAAAAAAAAAAGCTTTATCTTCCTCTTTATAAAATGCGATGTCGATGTTACAATTTTTCTCACATCATATGATGCATTTTTTTATTAATTAAATGAATGTGTTTAATTTATGAACAAATAAATTGATGCGATTAAAGTATAATCTTTCTCTAACGGATAAGGATAAATTAAAAAGATAATAACTTTTTGTAGAAAAAAAAATCTGTTAAAAAATAAAATTTGGTAGGAAAATAAAATAAAGTTTTCGAAAAAAAGCTTGGTCAGGTCCACGTGGTATTACCGTCCTCGTAATGCGGCATAGAGATAAGGCAGCTGACGTGGTTGTGAACTGCGAAGCTGTCAAACATTGACCTTCCGATCGCCGTCCCTTGAAATCAACGGTTCAGATCAGCCTGACACTTGGCTTTCTAAAAGCTTAAACTATATAAGGGATATAATTCAATTTTGTCGAATTTAAGTAAACTTTGGTTTACTACAGCCCACGTTGGATCATCTTTCAAGTTTAGGTAATCAAGAAATTATTTCTGATATTGTTTATTATTGATTGCTTGTGCTTTGCAACCAGCGATATTATATATTCATATTAAAATATTTTTACATTAAATACAAAGAGAATTTTATACATATACTGATATACATTGTAGCAGTATGATCCCTAATTTAAAAATACTCATATTAAAAAAGGTCATACAGAGTACAGACATATACATAAAATACAAGATCGTAAAAGAATACGGGTTTCAACTTTTGCGTCATAAAAACTGAAGACAGTCCAAATATCCAATGAATCCATATAATTAATCACTGTTCACTAACTTTGGTCAACTACTGTTCATCTATTTTTGCAGTTGACTTTTAAAGAAAATGCAGTTGACTTTTAAAGAAAATATCTATTTAAATTATGTATTCTATCACAGTTATACAATATTGTTATATTTTGATTTGATATTCTTTAATCAAGTTTTCCTCTCACGAACAATATTTAGAACTGATCGAATCAGTTAAACAATGTATTTGTAAGAAAAGGAAAAAAACAATTTATATCAGGCTCAAAATCATATCCATAATGTAGACCAAATTTGTTTTTTTTTCATCATGTTAATCAAAACCTGAAAATTTGTCGAAAAGCACAACTGATCAGGAAAAAAAAAATCGTGCGTTAGATATATATGTTTGTACTCTGTACGGAACAGATTTTTGGAAACGACATTAACATAATTTCTTATTATACATTTGAAATCCAACAACATACTTAATCCAAGCGCATTTTAAAACAATGTAATGTATTTGCTGAATGTTAACGGAATTGTTTCTTAATTACAAACGTGAAGACATGTATACATTCTAATCCATCGGACAACGAGTATAATATATATGCAAATTAATCCACCCATGTGCGCAAGTCATTATCTAGTAAGCTAGTGAGAATTGTAAATCAAATCAACGTAATGTCTAGTCATCTTATCACATTGTAAGACTAATTATAGTAGTATGATCTAGCTAGATATAAATGAGTAACGTGATAATTACCATGTAATTAAAGATAAACCAGTACTATTCGTTAAATAAAGACGCGTATGTGATCGATCTAAAGAAACCGAGTCAAATGGAGGCTATAAAAGCGGCTCCTTCATCCTCTTTTTCATCATCAGCCATTAATCTCTCTTTCAGACAAATTTTGTTTTGTCGTCTAATCTAATTCTTTACTTTTTCTCCACACAAAAAGAAGAAGCAGACATTCGGGTATTAACATTTTTCTTCATACTTCTCTATAAATTCATATACGTGTATATGTACGTGTGGCGTGCTAATTAATCGTGTATATTGATCTTAATTAATTCCAAGTTAGCGGAAATGGCGGGAAACGGGAACGAAAACACGACCGATGGAGAATTCAGTTTCTCGGCAGCGGCGGCGCGTGATGCGCTTCCGAGGATCACGACGGAGAAGGGTGCCAAATCTCCGACGTCGAGAGACGTGTGCCACGACGACACCGCATCGAGGGTCAACTTTCAGACAATCGACGAGCTTCACAGCCTACAGAAGAAACGATCTGCTCCGACCACTCCTCTGAAAGAAGGAGGTGGCGTAGTGATGGGAACCAGTGGCCCTACCACTCCTGTTTCCGGCGAGACCATGCTTCAATCCGTCAGGTGTGTTACATTTCTTATTATTTCTACCATAACGTTCAAACGTTTTTAATCCTATGGCTATATATGGGGATGGAAAAAAAAAAAAGAAGTGATTATTAAGTCAATAAATATTTGGATCTTAACTGATGTTGATTCACACAAGAAGTTTGAATAACAGATCGTTAAAAATGATTATAATTGACTAAAACGAAACAAATTGATTATAGTTGGATCTTAATTTTTTTTTTTTCCGCCTAGTATTGTTTTTCGTGATTCATCGACCGTCATCATGTAATATATATGTTGTATACGCGTACTAATCAGATTCTTGATTTAATCAAATTAATTAAGAGACCTGTGATTTTGGTAATCAAACTCGTGAAACCACGTTAAGAATATAGGAGTTAATATAACGTGATAATATGTTATATATGAAACTTGAGGAAACAATGATAAATGAATATTATATATCTTGTTGATGAATCAACAGTGCATCGTTGGCTTCGTTGACGAGAGAGACAGGACCGAAGTTGATCAGAGGAGATCCGACATCGGCGGCGAAAGTGGCGCACGTGCCACACACTCCTACGTCGTCACTTCCGGCTGCTGACGTCAGCGACAGTGCCTTGAAATTCACTCACGTCCTTCACAACCTCTCTCCCGCCGGTAACCATCCAAAAATAAAAACGACACGCCATCCTTTTTTTTTCATTAACCCCATTTTTTTACACATTTCACATTTACGAATTTTACGACCGGTTGCATGCAGAATTATACGAGCAGGCGATAAAGTATGAGAAAGGATCGTTTGTGACGTCGACCGGTGCGTTGGCGACGTTGTCCGGAGCCAAAACCGGTCGGTCTCCTAAAGACAAGCGTGTGGTTAAGGATGAGACCACCGCCTCAGAGCTCTGGTGGGGAAAGTGAGTCCCTCTCTCTCTCTCTCTACATTTCACATAATGAAGATCTTTAGATTTTTGACAAAAAAAAAGAAAGATGATCTTTGGATTTAGTATTACCCACTTCTAAAGTTCTAATACATAATATTTGGGGAACAGAGGATCACCAAACATTGAAATGGATGAACAAACCTTTTTGGTGAATCGAGAAAGAGCTGTTGATTACTTGAACTCTTTGGACAAGGTAACCCAATCAAACAAACATATACATTTTAACTAAAGATTGTAATTATTGAAACCAACTATATGCACTATATTATTAGATGAGAAAACTTTGATTATATTATATATCTTTGTCGTCAGGTGTTTGTGAATGATCAATACCTAAACTGGGACCCAGAGAACAGAATCAAAGTAAGAATCGTATCAGCGAGAGCATATCATTCACTATTCATGCACAACATGTGTATCCGTCCAACACCAGAGGAGTTGGAGAATTTCGGAACACCCGATTTCACGATATACAACGCGGGGAAATTCCCGTGTAACCGTTACACTCATTACATGACATCGTCGACGAGTGTAGACATAAACCTAGGAAGAAGAGAGATGGTGATCCTTGGGACACAATACGCTGGAGAGATGAAGAAAGGACTCTTTGGTGTGATGCACTACCTGATGCCTAAGAGAAAGATCCTGTCTCTTCACTCTGGTTGTAACATGGGCAAAGATGGAGACGTTGCTCTGTTTTTCGGGCTCTCTGGAACCGGAAAGACAACATTGTCGACTGATCATAACCGGTATTTGATCGGAGACGACGAGCATTGCTGGAGTGAGTCTGGAGTCTCGAATATCGAAGGTGGTTGTTACGCGAAATGCATTGATTTGTCGAGGGAGAAAGAGCCTGATATCTGGAACGCTATCAAATTCGGAACAGTGTTGGAGAATGTGGTGTTTGATGAGCACACGAGAGAAGTGGATTATACAGACAAATCGGTGACGGAGAACACACGTGCGGCTTATCCGATAGAGTATATTCCGAACTCGAAGATACCGTGCGTTGGACCACACCCGAAGAACGTGATCCTGTTGGCTTGTGACGCCTTTGGTGTGTTGCCGCCAATCAGCAAGCTCAATCTCGCTCAGACTATGTATCATTTCATCAGTGGCTACACTGCTCTCGTAAGTCTTTCTATAAATATTGTTCCGGTTTGGTTCGGTTTGGTTATGATATTCTAACAGATGAGCAACTGATTTTGTTTTGCAGGTAGCAGGAACAGAGGAAGGAGTAAAGGAGCCTCGAGCGACATTCTCGGCTTGTTTTGGAGCAGCTTTCATTATGCTTCACCCGACAAAGTACGCAGCTATGTTAGCTGAGAAAATGCAGGCTCAGGGTGCCACCGGTTGGCTTGTTAACACCGGCTGGTCCGGTGGAAGGTAAACCATCCACCATAGACAATTATAAAAACGCTAAATAGACAAAAAAGAGGGATTAGACTTTTTAATGATTTGATGGTTGTTGTTGCAGCTATGGCTCTGGAAGTCGTATTAAGTTGGCGTACACACGAAAGATTATTGATGCTATACATTCGGGAAGCCTCTTGACTGCAACTTATCAGAAAACAGAGATTTTTGGTTTGGAGATTCCAAATGAAGTTGAAGGAGTGCCTTCTGAGATTCTGGAGCCTATGAACGCAGTAAGTTAGAGAGACGAGGAAAATCCTTATTTTTGTTTTTTTATTAATCAGAATAACCCTAAACCATTCCCTTATTTTTTCTAAAAAGGCTAAGAAAGCTGACATTTCTGTTTGTTTGTGTTTTGGGTGCAGTGGGAAGACAAAGTGGCTTATAAGGACACATTGTTGAAATTGGCTGGTTTGTTTAGAAACAATTTTGAGACATTCACAAGTCATAAGATTGGAGAGGATGGAAAGTTGACTGAAGAGATTCTTGCAGCTGGTCCAAACTTCTAAAGTGATGGATGATGATGATGATGAAAGATAAAAAAATAAACAATTTCCCCATTTTTGAATGAGAAAATTCAGCAAAAGTGGTAAATCTAAAACTAAGCGAATAATGTTTAGTAGACGAATTTCAACAATCCCATTTGTTTGGTGTCTCAATTATTTATCCGTCATATTGTTTTCCAATTGAAATGAGAACTATTCTTTTTCTTTTTCTTTCATGAATGTTATACCAAAAAATAAGTTTCCATCATCCTCTGTTCATGGAAGCCCTCGCTACAAATGAATCTAAGTACTTCTTTTTCAACTCGATTGTATTTCATGAAACTTCAAAAGAAACAGAGCAGAGCAAAATTGGCTTAAAAACAGAGCTTTCGAAAAGCCATAAGAATAAAAAGAAAAAAAAAAACACAATTGCCTATTACACGGAGGAGGTAACTGGCTTCTCCGCCGCCAACATGTCCCGAAGTGCTTCTGAGAGTTTTGAGTTAAATCAGCAATTTAGGATCTGAAGGCCGGCCAAGCTAGTGGTTTTCTAATCAGCAAAGACGACATGATCCACATGTATTCTATTTAGTTTTTGTTCTTAAAATGATTAATGTTATTATCAGGACCTGTATATAGTCTGAAAGGCTGAAAGGGATAAAAAAAAAAACAAAATTTTATTCCAAAAATTAGTTTATGTACACAATAGAAACTGAGAAGCTAAGTGAAGAAATTGAATCAAATGAATTGTTGTTCAATTGAACAATGTAGAACAAAATAATTTAAAAAATTGTTTGGTCATGGAAGAAAAAAATCATCAATGTCTTCAAAAATTAGACGAGAGTAGAGGCGTCTGTTTTGCTTTCAAGTTTCTCTTCTTCGACCTCATCATCGTCACTCTTTTCATTAGACCGGTCCACACTCTTCATACATATCCCTGCAAACAAGCATACAAAATTACTTAGAAAAATTATATATACAGAGAGATAAAAGCTTATGAGATGAATAAAAAATGAATTTACCAATCCCCCATATAATAGCTGCGAGGAAGAGGATTGAAGTAATTATAAGAGTTGATGTTCTCCAGTTTTTGAGACGATCCTGCAATTACAACATTAAGAGTTCGTAAATCTAATTCTGAAAAGTGGGGAAAAAATAAAATCTTTGTCAAAAGACAGAATATGCAAACCTGCATTTTTCCAAAAAGTGGGGAAGAAGGGACATCGCCTAAGACATGGATCAAAACAGTTGAAACAGCCATTGACAATGGTCTTAAGTTTGGTCTAACGCAATGGAGACACACAAAGTTAACTGGAGCCTGCAAAAGAAAACAACAAAGAAACAAATGTTTCAAGATCAAACTCGTCGTTAAAAAAAAAAAACCAGAAAAGTCTCAAGGATTCCCTTGATTATATTACCTGCGGTGCAAAGATTAGAATTTCTCCCACTGCGAACAGACCAATGAAGGCATACATATTCTTCATGCAGAAAGCAGCGAAACAGAACGCTGCGCCGAATAAAGTAGATGCTGCTAGTAACTGTATAAAAAGATCAATAGAAGTAATAATCAGAGAAAAGAAAGGATTATTCATTGTAATAAAAAGGTGTTTAGTGAAAAAAAAAAATACCTTGAAGGTGTTAGAAAGTGTAGCGTTTATGCGATCAAGCACATAGCTTCCGCCTAATGTTCCAATGATCCCACAGATGATTGTAAGCCCTCCAAAAATCATGTCTGCATTTTTCATTTGGTAGATGCCAAAACCAGCTTTTGGTCCCCAGTATGAGTAAGCTCCGATTACAAAGTTGTAGGTTATGTAACCAAGAACATTTACTACAAATACTTTCTCGCAGAAAAGAGTCTTCAAGTCTTTTCCAAATACAACTAACAGGTTCTGACTCTTAGATCTGCCCAAAAAAATAGGAGAATATATTAGTATATGTAGTTGCCATTTGCATAGGCCAGGACAGTGAAGAGAGGATAGAGCAACTCACTTGGGGGTCACGGTTGTCTGCTTCTGTGAAGCTTCTGCATCTGTAAGAGCGACTGTTTCAATAGATGTAGAGGGTTTCTTCGAATTTTTATCAGCAAAACCTATTACACAAAGAAGAGGAACACTTTAGTAAGAAACTGGCACAATTTCCAGAAGAAACTAGAGATGATACAATGACGATTAAAGGGTTTGATTACGATACCTTTTAGCTGTGGTGGTTTGATACACAAGGACAAAAGAACAAAGCAAGCCATTGCGATTGCCTCTATGTAAAACGCCCAACGCCATCCGATATGGTCTCCCACCTGAACATGGAAGCAAATAAAATATAAACATACATACATTCCCTCAGACTCAGAACACTTATAACCAGAAAAAGCGTCAAGCATTATACTTACATATCCACCAAACACGTAGCCTAGAGCAACTCCTGCTGGTATACACATGTAGAACAGTCCAAGCCAGAGGTTTTTCTGGAAAGAAAAGCACAAAAATCAGATAAATTTTAACGAGTAAGCTAGCTCAAAACGTAACAGTAAAGTAACCGAGTTAAATACTAACCCGTGCAACAGGAGCACTATCATCGATGTATGGTGCTGCAAGACTAATAAAGGAAGCCTCACCAACCCCAACAAACCTAGGCGAGTTATGAAAAGAGAAGATTTTAGTTAATATACAGAGACCAAACAGAAAAGGCTTAGAAAGAGTAAATCATAAAGAATACTCACATTCGAAAAACAGCAATCATCCAGAAGTTGTAGGAAAACCCGCAACCAGCAGCAGCTATAGTCCAAACAGATAATCCGACACCGATTAGTTTAAAAGGGTTGAATCTGCAAATCAATTATAGAAAGACAAGATAAATCAAAAACAATGACTTTTAAGTAATATACCCTTAAACAAGAAATTCGTGATTCTTCTGTCTGTTTACAAAGAAGAAAAAAAAAAGTAACCTTTTTGATAATCCAGCGAATATTGGAGAAGCCACAAGAAGGCCAACCATAAACGCAGATGACAAAAGACCATCTTGGAAGTTGCTTAAGTTAAACTCTCCTCTGTATCAAGACAAAACAAAAGTGTTTTTTAAGTCTTTCGTAATCGATCAAAGTCAAATAAATCGAACATTAGAAATCAGAAAGAAGGAAAAATAAAATCTTTCTTACTGTATTCCAGTTCCTGAGGAGCAAAGCCCTTTGGCATCACATGTTCTTGAGCTTCCGTTAACACCATTACTTGCGATCACTCCTCGATCCACGTAATTGATCAGGTTTACGATACACAAGATCGCAACGAATCTACAAATAGAATCAGTCAAGAGTTAGAATCAAGCCCAGAAATCTAGGGCAGAATTCGATTTTGGGAACCTAGACGAAATCCTCAATTCACTTATTTAGCTACTTCCCTAAACATGACAACGCTTAAAGATTCAAATCACGAAATTCTTGCCTTTAACTTTTTTGGAATACTAAATTCGCACAAATCCTAGATTTTTGTTTTTATCACGCTTTAATCGTGTTCACAAAACCAGAGAGGGAGGGAGAGAGAGAGAGCACTATCGTCATCATCGTAATTAGACTTAAAAAAAAGGAAGAAGGCTTCATTGTTACCTTCCCGGAGTCCAAAATCGTTTTTTAGGGATCGGCGTCGAAGCTTCAGCTATAGCCGGAGAATCTCTCTGGCCAACTTTCGTCATTATCTCTATCTCAGATTTCAATTTCCACACTCTGTCTCTCTTTACTAAAGGAGAAAAAAGAAAATATTTGTATTTATACAGCTCTGTAATTCCGATTCCTGTTTTGATTTGGAGTATATTCTCCTCTTCTCTGTTAACAACTTTGGGTTTTCAAACTCGAATTTCTATTCAGATTTATTCGATTTTTTTCAATTTATTTATCACTTCGAAATAACAAAAAAAAACAGCGATATCTTCTCTTCCTGATTTTCCTTTTTTACTCAACAGAATTTATAAGGATAACTGAAAAATGGTTTAATTTCCTTTTTTTATTCGCTGGTAACAAAAAAAAAAAAATTACTACAAAAAGAGTCAAATGATTGTTGGAAAAAAATCAAACATTACAACTAATCTCACTAAACACACGGCAAATACGCACGTGTGGGATAATTTAAGATGATAATTTTCCAAGTTTTATTCTATGATGACATGGACACTCACAGCTTCTTCTTCTTCTTTCACAGGTTCTTAAGTGAAGTATATGCAGACACGTGAACGTCACAGCACAAATCTTTCTCCATTGCTTCCATTATCTTTAACTTCCACAACCTCTCATTCTTCTTCTGCAATCATCATCCATCATTACACAACATCCAATCACCATCTCACCATTTACCATATAATAGATACTATATATTACTAGATGAATCTTCTCCTATTACTCACAATAAGATCCAATGCTTGACTTAAGGACATGCTTCCGAATAAGGAATTGATAAACTTCTGAGCGGTGGCCTCTTGTTCATGAGTTCCAAAATGCCTGAAACAAAGACTTGATCGTTTCTAACTCTATATTGACAAAAGAGCAGGTCACTACATCATACTCAAGGCATATTCTTACCCGGAAGCTTCGGTTTGGGGGTTAAGTTCGATTGGAGCTGTTCCGTATCTCAAAGCTTTAAGCTGCATCATAAAAAAACAGAGAGCTATATGAGAGAAAGCTGTTAATAGATTTTGCCAACTCCGATCTCAGAGAGCAATGGTGGAGTGTGGAAACCTACATGGACTTGGAGAACTGGATCATGGAAGTTCAGGCACAGCATAATGTCTGATCCCGCAAAAATCAAATGCGAAACAACTTCATTGTTTTCTGTCACAACCTTCAAGTTTCCTCCCTGTTGAAAGATTATACAAACATCTCTTTTCTAAGTGAAAGAATATAATAGATGAAAAGCAACAGAGAATTGTGGAATGAAAATGTCTTGACCTTAATTTCATCTTGAGTTTTCTCCAATTCCCTGATTATCTTCTGATCTTCATTCGTTAACATTATAACAAACTGTTCCGGGGAAAACAAAGGAATAAGAGAAAAAACGTATAGTTAGATTCTTGGAAAGTGCATTGCAATCCATGGAAAGATCGAGCAAATAACCTGGACATCAATCATAGCTGTACTCAGTACAAGTGACTTCAAGCTCTCAAGATCAACATCTGATATATCTGAGAAGATGCACCCTACCTTGAAAAAGTAGTAAATACGTTGTAGTTCTGATAATCACTATGAAATAAGAGCTAATGCATCTAGCTCCACTTATATCTTTGATCTTAAACACATACTATGGTGACTGAAGCATCCTCCACTAAACCAAGTCGACGTTGTAATTCAACTTTGCAGATTGATTTTCCCCGTATATCCTTAGAACTGTAGTTTTCAGGGAGATAAACATCTCTTGAAGGATCCCATGTTAAATTGTCCAATCCAAATGGAGCAAAAAACAACTTCTCCCTATATTTTAAGAGAACACAACACAATTATTACATACCGCGATCCGATAAATTTTAATTAAGATAGCTAAGCTAACAAAAAAAAAAAATTGTCAGGAACTAACTTGTGAACAGCTAAAGTTGGCTCGAGACCAGGGATTGATCTATGATAGAGTGTGCTTCCCTCAGAACATGAGGATGACATTATTACAACTTTGTTCGAGTAGACAATACCTCCCTATTTTAAGTAAGAACAAAGTAAAGACTATGTGAGAATAAGAGTGTAACTTAGAGTGATAACTAACTCTTGTGAACTGTATTTTACTTTCACTTACCTTCAAAATATTAACCACCTGAGGATTCGTGTTATCTTGTAAGCGATCAGCACGATGAAGGCTAGCTGGATCAAGCCCACACAGCTCCAATTTCTCAGGAGGCACAAGACACTAAAACACACAAGAAGACCATATGCTACACAAGTTCTTAATCGATCTTGCCAGTGTAGGATGTATAAAACAAAAAGGAAAATGGCTTGCCTTTGAGTCAAACTCTTGACATGTCAAGAGTATTCTAGTACCTTCAAGTCCCTACAATTCGCAAATATATGATGGCAATGAGAAAATTAAGGCCTGATGATCTTTTTAATTGTTTGAAGCTTTTTTCTTTTAATTACCTGATTAACAAAAACATCCCAGAACAGCGGTCCAACTATTGCAGTTTGCCAGTTGTGAATGTGTAACACATCAGGCTTCTTTCCAGATTTTGCAATGTAATCCAACGAAGCACGAGAAAAGTAGGAAAATCTGATTTTTTTTTTAACAGATAATAAACCCCCACAAATAAATCAAACTAGTCTAAGAACAAATGTAGATCAAGCTAATGAAAGTACTGACCTATCAATATCGTCAGGATAGCCATATACTTTATCACGGCTAAACATTGACACGTTATACAATGGTTGAATAAGTGTCACTCCTATTCCAGAGACAACTCTGCATAAACAAGGTGACCATTAAAACAGAGGAAGAATACCAACTTTACCAAAGAAAAATATCTCACTCACTCACCCATTCCATATTCGGTTTCCATGCAGCTGACCATTGAAATAAGAATATGCATCAGCTTCGATTTCCCTGAGCCCTTCAATTTCGTCCAAATCAAGTGTAGAATATCTATTAATGAAGAAAGTATTCATTAGTAGGATGCTGCTTCACGATTGAAGATGGTATCTGAAGGATTTGATTCATTCATACTTTGGCAATATGACTTCAACCAAGTAGCCCTTTCCTTGGAGTGCACAAGAAAGTCCTGTAATATATGAGGCTAAAGGGCCAACAGAAACTAATGGAGCCATTTCGGTGCAGATATGAATCACGTGGAGACCATTCCTGGATTCGAATGACAAATACTAACCGAGCATAAATTTTAAAAAATCCGACTTCAAGAGTTTGAAAATAAAGTACACTAGAATATAAATTCACCTTTTGCCTTTAGTTGGGAACCGTCTAATTTCTGCTAGAACTTCGGCATCTTCTTGTTTCATAACATCAAGAGGAAACTCAGAGATGTTCACTTCATGCTCCCTAACCAGATTCCTCATGGATGAAGCTTCTTCAATGCCGATTAACCCATTGATCACCATAGAATCAATACGAAGAAGCAACTCCCAGAGTAGAGAAGACTTATCTGCTTATATATATATATATATACATGGTAAAAGATAACTTCAGACTTATCCGCTTACATCTAATGAATCATCAAAAGTAGGACTTGCAGAAAATTAGAAACCTTTCTTGGTTACAGTCTGGCTTTCTGCTTCCAATTGGTTGATCCTCTCTACTAATTCAGATTTCTGTTTCTTCAGCTTCTCTAACTCCTCAACTGCAGCTAGGCGTTGCTTGTTTAAGAAAAGGATATCTAAATACACAACAAAGACGATACAACGAAATCGGTGAGTTAACTTTTAGAATATGAAATCAAAACCAATAGCATCCAAATATTAATTTACTTTGTTGAGCTTCTTTAAAGAGGTTCCATATGTCCTTATGTTTTGTAACAGAAGATAGTCCAAGATTTTCCTGTAAACTTACCAGTTACACACTCTGTAAGAAAAATCAGGCAAGATAACATACTTGAAACCAAAGAATACTAACCTGAGAATTCTCAAACTCTTCATGCCCTTCTGATCTGGAATGAAACCCCCAAAGAAAGGAAAAAAATATTTTTTTAAAGAAAAATTCAACAAAAACCATTAAGATTGAGACTTCATTGCATAGCTATCTAATAGTTTGTCATAATTCATGAAAATTTGCCGGCTGTTCAGTAAAATCTACATTTCAAATCAAAATGTATATAAACTCAATTATGCAAAAATGTTAATGAAATGATAAATGTTACTATCAACGTGACTAATACGGACCAAGCAGAGCAGAAGTAGCAATCTCACAAGTAAATAAAGAGACGAAACTCGAAATCAACCTCAAACAATGAAGTGTGTGAGCCTTTCGAGGCTTAAGGTTCAGTATTTGGACTCTCGAGGATGACCCGCGCAGCGACAGATTCCATAACACCGGAAGATTCGTCGCTGATTGCATCGTCGGCCGAGCTCGAATCGCTGGCGACAATTCTAGTGACTTCGGAAAATTTGCCGGGAACGACAAAATAGAAAAACCAGTATTATTGGTATCTTCAACATTCACCGCTGAACTATCATTACTTTCAAATTTAACCCCATGGTCAAAATAATGACGCTTCAAATATATGGAAAACTCGGTACTTACCCCGATATTATTGTTATTTTCAAAAAATCACCCCGTAATTTAAAATGGACTACATCTCACTGTTTTAAATCTTTTTGATGGAACTCTAATAAAATGGAAATTCGAAACTCATCCCTTAATTTTTGTATTGTGTGGCCAGATTACACATTACTTTGCCAGAAAGAAAGTCCACAACCCTTCCCAAAACAAGAAAGTCCACAATTTTTCTCTAATACTCATGGAAGATGAAGTTAAAGGAGGGTGCTTATGTGTTAACTTCAATCCTCAGTCCAACATGATCGTCTCTGATTGCTTACTGCTGTCGAATTCTTACGTAGTTGAATCGAATCAAAACAAAAAGTATTGTATTTTTGTACTATGAATTTACTCTGAAGAAAGACTGAACAAAATCACTTTCTTTTAAAATCCATCAATAGACCCAAGAAATCTTTGTATTTCTGTTTTGATTGTCTGATTATGATGTACATGTACGACACAGTTTTAAAAGAGACACAAGCTCAATCTGAGACCATTATGTCTAACTAACTGAGTCCTGCAAATGGAAAATGACTTCACAGAGAGAGAGAGAGAGAGAGGTAATACAGAAAATCTTAAGGACATGTCTCCTCTCTTCTTCCACAATACAAAATTACATTCTTCTAAGTATTTATGTGTTTAAAAAGGCTTCATACTATTGTGAGTAGCTCGCAGAGATAAGTTATGGGGATTGAGTCATTGGACCATGTTTAAGTCCGTGATGGTCGGGCTCAGAAACAGAGTGGTGATGTGAAGATGACAAGTTTACGGTCCCATTTTCACCTTTTATTGGGTACTCTTTCACCTTTCAAATGGACCACTGCAAACAATTGGAAGGAAAAAAAAAAACAAAAAAGCCTTTGGTTCTAATGACAATTTTCAAACCAAAAGAAAAAGATGACTTTGTTTAGACTTTCTAGTGCGTTTTATTTTCTTCGTCATGCGTCGCTTTCACAACATGTTGTCTCTATTATTACGTGGTTTCAAAAGAAGCAAAACATAACCCTTCCTAAATCTCAATTATGGACCAGAACAATACACATTTTCAAATTCCTAACTTTATCAATTCAACTATGGTTTTTGAGCTTTTTAACACTCTTTTTTCAACTATGGTTCTTGAGCTTTATTCTTCCGTTTAATCTTGGTTCCGTTTAACCCGAATATTGTTTTTTTACAATTTAAATAAACTTTACGTAATTACATGATTAACAAAAAGCTACGAACTATTCACCTATATATTACAACTAATCAGAATCACCTTTTTGGTGATCAAATATTTGCATCAAGATTATTTGGTAGTAGTAACCAGTGATAAGAATCCTTATAGAGGTCGTAAAAAAAAAAAAAAATCCTTATAGAGATGCGCGTTTAAGGAGACAAAAAGGAACAGTACACGAGACGATGCGATTAGAGAATAAGCAACAAAAATAAACAAAAGCTTGGTAATGGACACAACGTGCTTCCATGGTTGGATTAACTTATCTTTTGGCTTTGGATACTTCTCTTATTTACTCTTAACCCAATGTTTTTTCTCTTTATGCTTCATCTCATATACGTATATTTTTATGTTCACTTAAATTTCAATTTTCAAGGCAATTCAGATTTTAAAATGTTGGAAACAGGGAAGAGATATAAAATCAAGAAACGAATCTCCTTAAGCACCTACTTCCCACAACTTTCAGGTCGTCATCAAACCCACTAAGTTTTTCTTACATAAAGTTTCATTCACACGTGCTTAGCAAATCAGATTATAGATAATTTTGGCTCAGTTCCGAATTTGTTTTATTAATCGACTGACAGTTTATTATGATATTGCAAAGAAAATGTCCAAATCTAAGAAGAAGATTACAAAATCAACTGTATAATGTCGGAATCTATATATATATTTAGCCATTCTATTCACATGAAATGTACTATAAAATTGACATTGCAAGGAGTATTTAGTAAAAATGTATGTACATATATAAATATATCGACTGTGAAACGAGAATGCAGAAATCATTATAGATAGATCAGTGACAGTGGACTGTAGCAACTGGCGAAGAAACCTCGTTAGCTGGACTACTTACTACTCCCTCCTTTCACACTTGAAATTTACTATCATACCCTTGGCTCGTCTCTTTCAGACGGCTCCATTGATGGCTGCGAACGAATTAGAGGGTATGTTCGTCATTTCGTATTATCCCCAAAATCGACGAAGACGAAGGCTGATTTGGTCATTCCTCGCAGTGGACGACCACTCCATGACTCCATTAGAGTTCAAGGTCTCGAATGTAATTTTACTCCTTTTACCAGTCAAAACCAAGTAATTTGACCAAATGTTTTTTTTTTTGGTTATTTTATACAACCAAATATCATTAGCTTTTTAAATTATCAATCATATGCTGTATCTTTTTTTTTCATGTAGCTTTTTACTTTTAACCTTCTTTTTTCTACATATCTGAATTTCTTTAATAATGAGAAGAGATGGCATTGTAACGTGAAAAGGCACAATTAAAAAAAAACATAATAATTCCCTATCTGATTTTCAGACACACGGGCCCAAAGTTTACGGCCCAATTACTGTAAACCTCTCTTTACAAAGTGGGTCCTAGTAAACTTTTTGACTGACCATTGGATCCCCTTAGAAGGATAGCATCTGCACCGTTAAATCTATTTTAATTATTGGTTTATCGCTTTAAAGTTTTAAAGCATCATTAACTTCCGTATGGGATTAGATTACCAATAACGATCTTTTTAGCTATTGTCGTTTTCCTAAAAAAACCATAGGTTTAAGAATATTTACCTGTTATTTGACCAAAAAAAAAAAAAGAATATTTACCTGTCCTTTTTCGTTTTTCCGAGTGATTTTAATTTGCCCTACAATTACTCTGTTTATTTGCTTTACCAGATACTTAGGATTTATCATGTGCAGAAATTAACTGAGAGAAAAAAACACATGGACACATCGTTATTAGAATCTACAAAAGTATGTATTCGTATGAAATGGGAATTGATAGAATTTGGCATGACTTGGAAGACATCACCTCTCAAATGTTTCAAGAACAACATAGTTCCAAAATCAAATAAATGAACCTTCCTGCATAATAATATATTCTCCATCGTACAAATTTATAAATTCTATTCTTTAGTCAAAACATAATGGTTCGAATCTGAAATATTTGCAAATTTTACCCAGTTTGATTATTACACTGGATGACAAAAACCTTTTTTCTGTTTTTAAATGATGTAACCACTAAACGAAATAAACATAAAGCCAGTTTTTCTTATAACTCTGTTATTAATCTAGTAGATTAAAGAAGTGATATCGCTTTAATATCATTCACTGTTAATTAATCAGGACTACTATTCGAAAAAAAAAAAATCATCCAGAAGACTTTGTGTTAATCTACGTCCAATAACTATGAACACAGTTTATTAAAGTTAAGAGTCATTTATTAATATGGAAAATCTGACGTGGCTCCTATTATCTCCTTTTATACTATTCACCTTCGATCGCAGAAAAATACAATAAAAATTTTCAAAACATAAAGTAAAGTAATTTACAATTATAAAATAAAATCACTCCCTCCTCATCTTCTTCTTCACTTACTCTCACCACACTCACACCAATCTAAGTTCATAACTATAATCTCTCACAGAGAAGAGAGAGAGAGAGAGAGAGAGAAACAATGAAGCTTCTTCTTCTTCTTCTTTTTCTCCTTCACATTTCTCATTCTTTCACCGCCGGCCGACCAATCTCCGAGCTTCATGCTCTAATCTCACTTAAATCCTCTCTCACCGGCGCCGGAGAAGACCCAAACTCGCCTCTCGCCTCCTGGAAATCCTCAACCAGCTTCTGTACATGGACTGGTGTCACGTGCGACATCTCTCGCCGGCACGTGACCTCTCTTGACCTCTCCGGCCTCAACCTTTCCGGTACTCTCTCTCCAGACGTATCTCGTTTACCTCTGCTCCAGAATCTGTCGGTAGCTGATAATCAGATCTCCGGTCCAATCCCGCCGGAGATCTCGAATCTCTACGGGCTTCGTCACTTGAATCTCTCAAACAATGTCTTCAACGGTTCGTTCCCCGATGAGATTTCATCTGGACTAGTGAATCTCCGCGTTCTCGATGTCTACAACAACAATTTGACCGGAGATTTGCCGCTTTCCGTCACAAATCTGACTCAGCTCCGTCATCTCCACCTCGGCGGGAACTACTTCGCCGGTCAGATCCCATCGTCTTACGGAAGCTGGCCGGTTATCGAGTATCTGGCGGTTTCCGGCAACGAGCTCGTAGGCAAAATCCCTCCAGAGATCGGGAACTTAACGACTCTCCGTGAACTCTATATAGGCTACTACAACGCTTTCGAGGACGGTCTTCCTCCGGAGATCGGAAATCTATCGGAGCTCGTCCGATTCGACGCCGCTAATTGCGGATTGACCGGAGAAATTCCACCGGAGATCGGGAAGCTTCAGAAACTCGATACGCTTTTCCTGCAAGTAAATGTGTTCTCAGGGCCGTTAACTTGGGAGCTGGGAACGCTTTCGAGCTTGAAATCAATGGATTTGTCTAACAACATGTTCACCGGTGAGATTCCAGCGAGTTTCGCTGAGCTGAAAAACCTCACGCTCTTGAATCTCTTCAGAAACAAACTCCACGGCGAGATACCGGAGTTCATCGGAGAATTACCGGAGCTGGAAGTGTTGCAGCTTTGGGAAAACAATTTCACCGGAAGCATCCCGCAGAAACTTGGGGAAAACGGGAAACTCAACCTCGTCGATCTCTCCTCCAACAAACTCACCGGAGCTTTACCGCCGAACATGTGCTCCGGTAACAATTTAGAAACCCTAATCACTTTAGGAAACTTCCTCTTTGGTTCAATCCCTGATTCTCTGGGCAAATGCGAGTCTCTGAGCCGGATCCGAATGGGCCAGAATTTCTTAAACGGGTCAATCCCTAAAGGGCTATTTGGATTACCAAAACTAACTCAAGTAGAGCTCCAAGATAATTACCTCACCGGCCAACTACCGGTGGCCGGAGGTGTCTCAGTCAATCTAGGTCAGATCAGTCTGTCAAACAACCAGCTCTCAGGTCCATTACCTCCGGCGATCGGAAACTTCACCGGCGTTCAAAAACTTCTCCTCGACGGAAACAAGTTCGAAGGTCCTATTCCTTCAGAAGTAGGGAAGCTCCAGCAACTATCAAAGATTGATTTCAGCCACAACTTGTTCTCCGGTAGAATCGCGCCGGAGATCAGCCATTGCAAGCTCTTGACGTTCGTTGATCTGAGCCGAAATGAGCTGTCCGGTGATATCCCAAACGAGATCACTGGTATGAGGATATTAAATTACTTGAATCTGTCTAGGAACCATCTCGTCGGAACAATCCCTGGTTCGATCTCGTCAATGCAGAGCTTGACATCACTGGATTTCTCTTACAACAACCTCTCCGGTTTAGTTCCTGGAACAGGACAGTTCAGCTATTTCAACTACACATCGTTCTTGGGCAATCCTGATCTCTGTGGTCCTTATCTTGGTCCTTGCAAAGACGGTGTTGCTAAAGGAAATCACCAGAGTCATGGTAAAGGACCTTTATCTGCTTCCATGAAGCTATTGCTCGTTCTTGGACTACTTGTTTGTTCGATCGCATTCGCCGTTGCAGCCATTATCAAAGCTAGATCCTTGAAAAAGGCGAGCGAGTCACGGGCTTGGAGATTAACAGCTTTCCAAAGACTAGACTTCACTTGTGACGATGTCTTGGATTCTCTCAAAGAAGATAACATTATAGGCAAAGGAGGAGCTGGAATTGTCTACAAAGGCGTGATGCCTAACGGTGATCTAGTCGCGGTCAAAAGACTCGCTGCAATGTCTCGTGGTTCTTCCCACGATCACGGATTCAACGCCGAGATTCAAACCTTAGGAAGGATAAGACACAGACACATCGTGAGGCTACTCGGTTTTTGCTCTAACCATGAGACGAATCTACTCGTCTATGAGTACATGCCTAATGGTAGTCTCGGTGAGGTGCTTCACGGAAAGAAAGGAGGACACTTGCTTTGGGATACACGTTACAAGATTGCTCTTGAAGCTGCAAAAGGACTTTGTTATCTCCATCACGACTGTTCTCCATTGATTGTTCACAGAGATGTCAAATCAAACAACATCCTCCTCGATTCAAACTTTGAAGCTCATGTTGCTGACTTTGGTCTCGCCAAATTCCTTCAAGATTCCGGTACATCTGAATGCATGTCTGCAATTGCTGGATCTTACGGCTACATTGCTCCAGGTAACGATCAAATACTCTAAACAAAGAAAAAAAAGTTTCTAACTTTGCTCTGTATATGTTCTGTTTCGTAAGTTGTTTCGTTGTTTTGTTCTTGTGTAGAATATGCGTATACATTGAAGGTTGATGAGAAGAGCGATGTGTACAGTTTCGGTGTGGTTCTCTTAGAACTCGTCACGGGAAGAAAACCAGTCGGTGAATTTGGTGATGGTGTCGATATCGTGCAATGGGTTCGTAAAATGACTGATTCGAATAAGGAATCGGTTCTTAAAGTGTTAGATCCGAGACTTTCTTCGATTCCGATACACGAAGTGACGCACGTTTTCTACGTTGCTATGCTCTGTGTCGAAGAACAAGCCGTTGAGAGACCGACGATGAGAGAAGTTGTTCAGATCCTCACCGAGATCCCTAAGATGCCACCGTTGAAAGATCAGCCGGCGACGGAATTAACCGGAGTCGAGAAGTCAACGGCGGAGAATGAGCTCTCCCCGAAGTCCGGTGGTCCACCAGATCTCCTCAATCTCTGAGAGTTATTCCGAGGTAGAAAATTAGGGTTCCGGTAGGAGAGCAAATTTGTCCTTTACTTAAATGTTTTTAGCGTTGAGGTTTGGTTGTTAATTTACTTATTTACCGGTTTAGTTTGGTTTGTGCTTCGTTCCGGATAGCTAGTGTGTTTCAATTTTCTCGGGTTTTACCTCTTTTTTTTTTTTTTTTTAAATTCGGCTCTATTTAGTTTTGTAATCTGTATGAATGAAGATGTACAGTTGGTTGGTTTATTTTAAGGGGGGAAATGCTAATTTTCGGAGTTTAAAATTTTGTCTTGAAAACAGTGAATCTCAATGTGTAATGTGGTTACTCTTTGCATGTCTTGCTGTACCGCCACGCATCTGCAGCTTATCTGTAATTTTGTCTTATTTATTGTTTTCGGGTATTTTATTAACTTAGTTAAGAACCATCGTAAATACTTCGACCAAAAAAAAACCATCGTAAATACTTCGAACTCCGTTGCGTATAGCTACTATACAAAAAGTCTGGTATTATTAAGAAAAAAGGGATCTAACAAACCTTGATCAACGAGATGGTACTAATTTACCATCATTTTAAGTAAGAATTTATGTATTATCTTTTATTTGCAAATGTACTCTTCTAATATATAGAGGTTTGATGATGAATATATACATGCACGAATTGACGTATATATGTTTGAGAGCGAATATGATTGCGGTTGCGTTAGCGGTTTCCATGAAGTTTGAACTGAGAAGAATAATTAAAGAGAACAATGCATGTGAAAAAAGTCAGTCAGAGAGATCAAAGGTATAAATGTAGAGGGTGAATAATGATTGGTAATGAGTTAAAGGTAAGAAAGTGAAACCTATCTCACTCACCAAATTTTTCTCCCACATGAAAAATATATATACTATAAAAATCTAAAGTCTTAAATGTTGTTGATGAGATCTCCTAGTCTAACTATTTTCCCTTCTCATGAAGCAATTTCTAGTCTATGTGAAGCATTTATGGTTTCTCTATCATCAATATATATGTTAGCCACACCTAACTTACATTTATTTGGTCTTCATTTGGGTGTACGTATAGACTCCATCACTCCAAATTTCCAATGATGATTGTAGATCTTATAGTTCGTCTAGGTTATTTTAATCAGAAAATTTGGGTCAGACATACGAAATTGCAGCTATCATAATGTTTGCTCACATCTTACTGAGGTAATGCCCTAATTGTTGGGTTACCTCTTAACGACGATATTTTGTTTTTAGAAATTAATAATTTTAAAAAATAAATCGTCGTAAAATCGTTTTACGACGATTTTACGATGATTTACTTTTTTTAAAAAAAATTTTAAATTGTTTTTTTTTAATTTTTTAAAAAATTTGTTTTTTATTGAAAAAAACATCAAATCGTCGTAAAATCGTCGTAAATTACAATGATTTTACGACGATTTTTTTATTTTAATTTTTTTTTTAAAAATTTTGTTTTAAATTTTTTTTATTAAAAAAAAAATCAAATCGTCGTAAAATCGTCATAAATTACAACGATTTTACAACGATTTCATAAAATATACAAAGTCCCACATCGATAGTTTTGGAAAATTTGTTCTAGTATATATATACCTACTCATAACTATTAAACAATCAGTGTATCACTATCATCAGAGTAACCACCGGCCACCACGGATCACCAACGGCGACCACCGGCGACCACCACGGCGACCACCACCAGCGACCACCGGTGACCACCACCGGCGACCACTAGCGACCACCGGTGAGCGACCACCGGCGACCACCAGCGACCACCGGCGACCACTGGCGCAGAAAGAGCCACCACCGCCGGAGGAGCCACCACCGTCGGAGGAGCTATCACCACCGGAGCCACCATTGCCAGAAAAATTTAAAAAAAAAAAAATAATCGTTGTAAAATTGTCGTAAAATAAATAAATAAAAATAATAAAATAATAAAAATCGTTGTAAAATTGTTGTAAAAATAAAAAAAAAATAATAAAAATCATTGTAAAATCGTTGTAAAAAATTAAAAATTAAAATTAAAAAAATATTAAATATCGTTGTAAAATCGTCATAAATTAGCGACGAATATAAATCGTCGCTAATTACAACGAATTTCCGACGAAATTTGATTTACGACGATCGATTCACGACGATTTGATTTTCGTCGTAAAATCGATGCAAACACTCAATTACAACGAATTTACAACGAATATGGTCGTTGTAAATGATGTGTTTTCTTGTAGTGTTCCGTATACTGCTAAGTAAATAAACCAAATGGTTTTGTTGGTCGAAATCATACTAAAACGTGATGATTTATCTACATGCAAGTTATTATTCTTCTCTACATTCCTCAAGCACGTATCTGACTAGTAATACACTGCAAAATTGTTATATGGAAACTATAAAGTTGAGCTCACAAAAAGTATTATTTGCACACAAAAAAATATATATCACAAAATGTATTTTTTTTCCTTGATATACATGTTGGACCTAAATTATTACAAAGCTCAAAAATAAAATTTTTTAAGGTAATTTAAAATGTGAGGAACTTCATTTTATCCCACATTCAAGGATTGAAAAAATTTAGAGTCATATAAATATAGACACACACATAACATAGTTTAAAGTGTGTGAAGAGAACCAAAGACCCCTCGCGCGCCGCCGCTGCCGCCGAGCCGGGCTTGGGTCTTGTGGGCCCACAAAAGATGTTCTCTTTAAGCCAAATTTTGGTCAACATTTCTGGTCCAAATTGCTAAAGTTTTCGATTCAAATTCTTAACAGAATCACGACATTAAACTGCAGTCAAATGTCTATCCCGAAAATCACATCAAGATTAACGCCCAAATCATGTTATTAGCGCACAATTAATCACGTCATTAACACGCTGATTACGTGCGACGTTCCTCTCTCCTTCGCTATAGATATGACTTCTCCTCTTCCATTTTTCACTCATTGGTCTCAAAAATTTTACAGACAAAAAGTCGTTCACACTTTCCTTAATCTCTCGCATCTCTTTTCTTCTTTCAAGAGTAAGTGTCCAAGAGTATATCGTAGTTCGTCACATTCTATAATCGGGTGCTGCGACTATACGAATACTAGTGGTTGTATCCTGAGATTCATTATCTCATCCAACTGCCACACTGCGGGAGATATTTTAAATTAAGAAAAGAGATCATCTCGTCTCCACTTTTCATTTTCCTTAATCCGCTTTTATAAAACGTTTTTCTGTGTCTCAAATCATTTTCTTATATTGTAATATTTGTCTCCTTTAAATTTACTTCCTACAACACACATCCCTTGCGTGTGTGATAACGATTGCATCACATAACCACTATTCCCTTTATACTATGCATCCATTGAAAATTCATGTTCGATGGATCACAAAGGTGAAAAAGAAAAGGAATAGTTAATGTCTTTCCATCTCAGCTTTATATCTCACGTTATGCGTAATTTCCGGACAATGAAATAAACTATTTTAAACAACATTGCAAGCTTTCTTCTCTCAAAGAATTTTCGTCTGTGACAACTCATAAGCACTGAAAATAAGACTCTTTCATTTACCCTGTATCTACTACTACAGGCCTATCTGTTATTTAGGCGCATATAAACAATCCAACATTTTGATTCTTATGTTTTAGCTTTCTAGTTTTAGGGACGAAAATGCCACGTGAATATATGATTATGAAAAGACAGAGACACGTAGAAAAGAAAGAAAGGAGTGCACTGTGTTTGAATGGGTCCGTTTTGTCATTTTCTTGGTTTCATTGTTTTCCCCGACACAGTTATGTCCCATCCCTCGTAGTTGCTAAGAGAATCCTTACACAAAGGAAAATTACAATAACAAAAAAAAGTATATAATAAACTAAATTTATCCGTTGATTTGATCTGTGAAATACCGTCTATAGAAACAAGTAAAGTTTTGGTATTAGCCTGTAATTTTCTGAATCAAATTAGAGTGTATGTATCATTAATTGTTGGTTACCTTCTTTTCTTTTGGCAAAAATTGTTGGTTACCATCCACCAAAAAAAACTTATCTTAATCTTACATGCTACCACTAAGCCTACATATATATATAATATGCGAAAAAGTCTAATTAACTAGATAAAGTCATAATAATGGTCTTACTTATATGATTCATGTACTACAGCTAGTCCTAATGGATGTTGTGTTGCCCCAAATCTACCAATTAGTACTCTTTATATTTCTTCTTTTTATGGGGGTCGAGATACTCTTTACATTTCCTCAAATTACAATTAGTTGAGTCCAAATGCAATTAAGTTCTTAATCTTACGTCCATATATATAATGACATTGTTTTTCCGTGAATTGTGACTGAACGAAGTAAAAGAAATGACGTGAACAGCTAGTAGATGAAGTGATTCATGGTACGTAGGTCAAAAACAAAATCAAAAAATATTTCATATCGCAGCACATAATGTTAGGTAGAGATTCGTCCTTATATTTGCAATATAACACATTCATTTCGTTTAATCGACAGAATATCCAATAAAAAAAATTTGAATAAGAAGTTAGACCATTATAATTAATCAATGCTCGCAAATGAGACGGAACAATTCATTCTTCCATCACTAGTAAGGAAGCTAAATTAAATTATTTCATTTTGATTCAATATTCATATATTTAATTTTAGAAGATTACGTTTCTACATCAACCTCAATAAAATCATTTTGTGTACTTCAGAGTTTCATATGAGTGAGTAATAATGTACTTATCTATGTCATACTATTATGATTATAGTATTGGAGATGATTGTAACCATATATTTATTTTCTCCCAAAATAAATATATTGTTAGAGCATGTACATCAGTAAACTCTTAAGAGAAAGGTTCATCAGAATATAATAATTTTTTTTTTGGATTTTAGTTTTATTTTTTTTTTAATTTGAAAATTATAATTTTTGACCAATCAGAATGTTTCATTTTGGGATGATACCGTCTCGTAAATATTTCTTTAATATTAAAATTTTTTGTCTATGAACTATTCTTATCATCCTATGATGTACATGCTCTTATGCTCTTAGATGTAAGTAAAGTTGAAATAGTGAGGTGACGTTAGAAAAGACAAAAAAGAAGAAGAGACATTGGTTAGGGGTCCTCTTCTTTTTTCTTTAAAACTGATATCATGTCTTAACTCATATCGTAAATTAAGATAATACAAAATAAATTTAAATCAATCGCAGTTGTTAATGTTCGTTTTCGCAGATCGAAAAAAAAGACGCTCGTTTTTCTATCTCAATAACACCCTAGGTCCCTAGCAATGAAGAGAAATTCACATATCAGCTAAGAAAATAGATATTAAAACAACAAAAAAAACTAAAATTCGATTGACAAAAAAAAAAAAAAAAAACTAAAACTCCGTATTGTCTTTTATACTCAGTATAGTATTTTATCTTTTGCTGCATAGCAGTAATAATCACATATTCGATACTCTGCCAGAGAATTGTAGAGTATTTTCTATTAATTTATCAGCTAAAACAGTTAGTTTTAACAACAGAATTATAATTGCGAATCAAAAAACTTAAGCTTTCTTTGTCTTTGATTCCAAACTCCATCAGTTAATACTTAATATCCTCCAAAAAAGGAAGACAACCAACTTAAAACTTAAACGTATGTGGCCACACGTGTTTCATAAAACATTCTTTTCACCGCACGATAAATCTTTAAGCATCACAAGACTAATAATTAGATTTGGGTTTCTCTTCTTCTTTTTTTTTTTTTTTGTAGTTCTTCCCTTTTGCTACTATTTCAAGAATGATCACAGGAGAATAATGTACCGACACGGAATATTGTTTCTTCATATGGTGCCTATTTAACTATATCAAAACTTTAAATCTTGAGTTTGAGTTATCCTGATAAGAAACTTTCAATGTTTGATCCTAACACATACGACACTTTGTAGATTTAAATTATTACCTCGTCGTTTTTCATCTAAAAACATATCCTATATCCGTAATTTGTATATTTAAATTATTCTCTTGTTGTTGTTTTTACAACACTTTTTGTGTTTCGTTTTTTCTTTTGTTATTTTAGCGTTCGTATAAAATCAGTTCGGGTTGTCAAAGAAATTTGTTTTCGCAGACGGGCCCTAAAACCCAATAACTAGTATACTAATGGGCTATACTTTTCAAGAAGAAAGCCCAATAGATTCAGAAAGTGTCAGTGTCAGTGTCCCATCATGAGTCACACGACAATGGGGAAGCTCTGTTCTGTGCGGTTCCGTTCCGTTCCATTTTTTTTTTCGGTTCCGTTCCGTTTGTATCAGTTTCGAACACCCAGAGATTCAGGTGGCTACTTTTTTTGTTTTGAAACGGTTCAGGTGGCTACTTTATAAAAAGGAAAAATTCAAATGATCTTTTGGAGGAAATAACTGAGTTTTTTTATGCAACAATAATGGAATGTGGTCTTAATTATGTGTTGAAAAGATACGATAGGGGGCAGTTCAACAACCTTCTAAAGTTATGGTCTTAATTGATAACCACAAAGTATACATTATTATATTCTCTCACCAGTTTTCTTAAAATCCACACCACGAGTTCTTTTTCCAGCCAAATTTGCACTTTTTTTATTCAACAAAATTGATTCTATAATACTGTAATTGTTATTGTTAAATGACACACCGGTTATTATAATTAATTATTTTCTATATATATTTCCTCGCGGATAATATACTTCTTACTTAAAATGACCAAAAACGCATTCATTTAAAGTATTTTTTTATACGTAAAATGGTTTTTGGGAAAGATAAATGTTAACTAAAGTACACTAAATTCAGACAGAAGAGTCTTCACGGCGATTGCATATTCCAAAGCAAAAATAAATAGATGAACCGGTAGTCGGGAATTGGTAGTTGAATGGTAATTAAGTAGAAGCCTCAAATCCCGATGAGCCCGTGTGTGAATGTGGTTCTAGTGTCTCCTCAAATGGGTTCATTCCAGTTAATTACGTAATTATTTACACTTCCCATCAAGTTATAACATTTACCCTCATTACTTTTTCTTTTAGAAGATCGTTAATGTTTATATAAATTAAACTAAATAAAAACAACTTGGGGGTTGAGAGAGATAGAAAGAGCAAATTGCAAAGAAGTCTCGTTACAGTGTTAAATTATTAATCTTAGGATTAGACATTAACTGCGCCTAACTGAAGACCAAAGAAGAGTTGATCAAAGTCTACACAGAACCTAACATTCTCTGTTACCCATGCATCCATCTAAGGGACACTTACCATCCTCCAAGTCAATGCTACTGTTATTTAGTTTAAGTTTTTTCTTTTCTTTTCAAAACCATTGCAAATATAATTCCAAGCTTAACATAACAAGTCTTGAATATCGAAATATACAATTTTTAATGTTTGACAAGAATTATATTCGTTTTTTATATCAAGCATATGCCATCTAACAGTTTTTAGATTACTGATTTAATTCATACGAAGTAAAACATATAATTATTTTAAAATGTACATATCTACTTCTAGTAGAATCCAACTCTGATTATATAAATCCTGTTAGGTCCACCAAATTTTGCTTAACACCCAAAAAAATCTTTTGATTACATTGGGGTTTTGAAAGAGTGAACACTAAAAAAAAAGTTTTCAAGATTCCTTTTCAATTTATCTTTAGAATCCAGACACTTGAAAGGGGGAAAAAAAACTGTCACTAGACTGAACCTACTTCCCATGTGAATCAAGTAAAAAGAAAGAAAGTAAAAGAAGGAAGAGTCATTAGCAAACCTTTAGATCCATTCATCTTTAAATAACCATCTCAAATCTTTAATCGTTACTTAACTTTCTAACCCATCAAAAACCCATGAAAAGTTTATGAACAGATTCTCTCACATTCCATTGCGTTTCTTCTATCTCTCTCTCTTTCACTTCCCAAAACGATGATCACCATCACTACTCTTCTCTTCTTGTTTCTTCCTTTACTTGTTCTTTCTTGTTTTCTCCAAGTTTCTTCCAATGGAGACGCTGAGATATTGAGTCGGGTCAAAAGGAGCCGGCTTTCTGACCCGGATGGCAAGTTAAATGATTGGGTCATAACCGGAGATAAACGGAGTCCGTGTAACTGGACGGGAATCACATGCGACGTCACTAACGGGAATTCCATCGCCGTCACTGCCATAGATCTCTCCGGTGATGGAATCTCCGGTGGATTTCCTTACGGCTTCTGTCGTATCCGTACGCTCATCAATATCACTCTTTCCCGAAACAATCTCAACGGTACGATCAATCCTGCATCTCTATCCCTCTGTTCTCAAGTCCACGTTTTGATCCTCAATGTAAACAACTTCTCTGGGAAGTTACCGGAATTCTCGCCGGAGTTTCGTAATTTACGCGTCCTCGAATTGGAATCTGATCTGTTTTCCGGCGAGATTCCTGAGAGATACGGGAGATTCACTGCTTTGCAAATTCTAAACCTTAATGGCAACCCGCTCAGTGGAACCGTTCCGGCGTTTTTGGGTAACCTGACTGAGCTGACTCGTCTTGAACTCGCTTACATCGGATTCGAGCCTGGTCAGATTCCGACAACATTTGGAAATTTGACGAAGCTGACTTACCTTCGGCTAACTCACTCGAATCTCGTCGGTGAAATTCCAGATTCGATCGGGAACCTGGTTTCGCTAGGGAACCTCGATTTAGCTATGAATGGTCTCACCGGAGAAATACCTGATATTATCGGGAGACTCAAATAGATTTATCAGATTGAGCTTTTCGATAATCAGTTGTCTGGGAAATTGCCGGAGAGTATTGGAAATCTAACCAACATGAGAGATTTTGATGTCTCGCAGAACAATCTCACCGGTGAATTGCCAGAAAAAATCGCTGCTTTGCAACTCGTCTCTTTCAATCTCAACGACAATTTCTTCACTGGAGAAATACCAGACATCGTAGCTCTGAATCCTAATCTCGTCGAATTCAAAATATTCAACAACAGCTTCACGGGGACGTTATCTAGGAACTTCGGAAAATTCTCCTGAGTTTCTGAATTCGACGTCTCGATGACCAAATTCTTCGGTGAATTGCCACCGTCTCTCTGCCACAGAAAAAACCTTAAATGGATGATAAGTTTCAGCAATCAATTGAGCGGCAAAATTCTAGATTCTTACGGTGATTGCCATACGCTTAATTACATCAGAACGGCAGATAACAAACTCTCCGGCAAAGTTCCAACTGGGTTTTGGGAACTCCCTCTTACTCGTCTCGAGCTACCTAATAATGAGCTAGAAGGTTCGATTCTGCCATCGATATCCAATGCTCGTCATCTATCTCAACTCGAAATCTGCGGTAACAACTTCTCCGGTGTGATTCTCGCCAAAATCTGTGATCTCGGAGACTTGAGGGTAATTGTTCTTAGCCGCAACCGTTTCTCAGGATCTCTTCCATCTTGCATTAACCGATTGAAGAACCTGGAAAGAGTGGAGATGCAGGATAACATGCTCGACGGCGAGATTCCGAGTTCAGTGAGTTTGTGCGTCGAGTTAACGGAGTTGAATCTCTCGAGTAACCGTTTCCGCGGCGGTATACCACGAGAACTCGGTGACTTACCGGTTTTAAACTATCTAGATCTCTCCAACAACGAACTCACCGGTGAGATTCCGTCGGAGCTGTTGAAGTTGAAGCTAAACCAATTCAACGTCTCCGATAACAAACTGTACGGCAAGATCCCTTCTGGATTTCAGCAAGATATTTTCCTACCGAGTTTTTGGGTAACCCAAATCTTTGTGGCCCGAATTTGGATCTGGTTTAAGGTTTAGGGTTTAGGGTTTAAGGTTTAAGGTTTAAGGTTTAGGGATCTGGTTCGATCTTGCCGGTCCAAACCCAATACTCGGTATTATTTATTATCTCCGTCATTGGCATAGTTGCACTCACCGGAGCTTTAGTTTGGCTGTTTATCAAAAACCAAACCGTTATTTTGGAGAAAACCGAACCAGACCAACAGAGTAACCATTTTCCAGCGGATCGGGTTCACCGAGGTAGACATATACCCGCAATTAATAGAAGATAACATAATCGGGTCGGGCGGGTCGGGTCTGGTTTACAGAGTAAAACTCAAATCAGGTCAAACACTCGCGGTGAAGAAACTCTGGGGAGGTCTTGGTCAAAAACCTGAATCTGAATCTGAATCAGTTTTCAAATCTGAAGTAGAGACTTTGGGTCCAGAGCCGTGCTTACCATGTAGTGAAAAAGGCTTTTGTTTCAAGCCCCCAAAATATATTAATATTTCAGAGCCCTCATTTTCTTAAGAGGTGGTTAAGTGGTTTATGGTTGGCATGAAATCTTTTTTTACATAAGATGTTTTCTTATTTTTGTTTATAAAAGAGAAAAAAAGGAATAGATATAGGAAATAGATTAAGATTACATTCTCCCAATTGTTTTAGGAAATTGATTAAGATTTGTTTAGATTATCGGCTTTATAATATCTTAAAATAAGACCAAAACCCTAAAGTCCAAGAGAAAAAAAAATTCATAGATTGCTTATCAGATATTGCTGACGATTCCAGTTTCAGTTGCCTTGGCTGAAAGAAGTTTTTTAAAGTTGAAGTTGATAAAATCTTAGTTGCGATCAACTATGTCACAAGAAAGATTGAATGGCCTATCTATCATATCTATAGAAAGAAAACTAGTTAAGAATCTCGATTATGAGAGTTTGGTGAAAAAGTTTATTGAAAAAGAAGGAAGAAAGATTATGTCTTAATTAATTTTTTAGATTAAAATTTTACTTTTGAATATTTTATATGATTTTAAAATTATATTATATTTTTTTGTTAGAAAACTTTTTTTTTAAATGAAAAAGGTCTTATTTTTTTAATTTGTCCTAAGTCCCTATAAACCTTCGCACGTCATTTTTGGGTCGGGTCAGACATGGAAACATCGTGAAGCTTCTCATGTGTTGCAACGGCGAGGAGTTTCGTTTCCTTCTGTGCGAGTTCATGGAAAATGGAAGCTTGGGTGACGTTTTGCATTCAAAGAAAGAACATGGTGCCGTTTCACTTGATTGGACGACACGGTTTTCGATCGCGGTTGGTGCAGCTCAAGGACTTGCTTATCTACATCATGACTCAGTTCCGGCAATCGTCCATCGTGACGTCAAAAGCAATAATATATTACTGGACCATGAGATGAAGCCACGTGTTGCTGATTTTGGTTTAGCTAAACCGTTGAAAAGAGAAGACAATGATGGCGTTTCCGATGTTTCTTTGATGTCGTGTGTTGCTGGATCCTTCGGCTACATTGCTCCAGGTTAGAATTCAAAATTCTTCTACTATTTCATTTCTCATAAAATTCATGAGTTATAGGTTTGATAAACTTAAAAATCAAACCAAACCAAAATTACTTAAACTGTTGAGTAAAATAGTAGAGTTGCTCAAAGATAAGAAATCACTTGAGTGAATAATATGGTATAGTTTTCTTTCATCTTATTTAAATCCTAGGAATAGGATTGTGACTTTATTATATAGGTTGAATTTTTCTTGAAAGTTTGGGCTTTTAGAAGACTAACTTAAATAGCTAGTATTTCTTTTATTTCTTACTTAGACTTTTTAAGATGGAGAAGGCAAATTTTTATGCCATTTGTTGTTTTTTTCCCGAAAGTATCAAAATTAAATCTAGAGGAAAATCTGATGTTTATGTGTATATGAATGTCATTATCAACATAAGAGTAATTTATCTTCATTTTTCTAAATTCAACGAAAGATATATTTAAAACTAACAAAACTATAAGGAAAGAAAACTCTTCCGCCAAAGAGTATTGGATGGTATTGGGCATTTATATGAGGCCCATCATATATTAACAGGCCCAATTTTCTCATATCGTCTTCAATTTAGGGTTTCAGAGACGACCACGTCGCATTTGTCACGAAACCGACAGTGACGCTATCAGTTTTACCTCCGATAAGCATAGAACCTTTCGCATATTTTCTCTTGACCTCAGCTTCTTCTTCCTCTTCATCAACACCGAAAGCAATCGAAAGAGAAACCAATCAAACAACTAGGATAAAATTGGAAAATTCAGTTTGAGGTCTAGAATCAATGGCGTCTAAAGTTATCTATTCCACAATCCGCCGAACCCTAACGAAGCCACACGGCGCTGTTTCCCGGCGTCATCACTTGTCTACCGCCGCCGCTGCTACCACTACCGCGACGGCGGTGGATAATTACAACGATAAATCGGGGATCGTGATGAAAGGAGTTCGAATTTCAGGTAGACCTCTTTATTTGGATATGCAATCGACGACTCCGCTTGATCCTAGGGTATTCGACGCGATCAATGCGTCTTCAATCTATGACTATGGGAATCCTCACTCGCGAACGCATCTTTACGGCTGGGAAGCTGAGAACGCTGTCGAGGTCGCACGAAACCAGGTCGCGAAATTGATCGGCGCTTCGCCGAAGGAGATCGTATTCTTATCTGGCGCGACGGAGGCGAACAATACCGCGGTGAAAGGGGTGATGCACTTTTACAAGGAGAAGAAGAAACACGTCATAACCACACAGACGGAGCACAAGTGTGTCCTTGATTCTTGCAGGCATTTGGAGCAGGAAGGATTCGAGGTAACTTACTTGCCTGTGAAAACTGATGGATTAGTCGATGTAGAGATGCTGAGAGAGGCTATTAGACCGGACACAGGGCTAGTTTCTGTTATGGCTGTGAACAATGAGATTGGTGTGGTCCAGCCTATGGAGGAGATAGGTAGGATTTGCAAGGAGCATAAGATTCCGTTCCATACTGATGCTGCTCAAGCTATAGGAAAGATACCTGTTGATGTTGAGAAGTGGAATGTTAGTTTGATGTCAATGAGTGGTCATAAGATCTATGGACCAAAAGGAGTTGGTGCTCTGTATGTGAGAAGGAGGCCGAGAATCCGTCTCGAGCCACTGATGAATGGTGGAGGTCAAGAGAGGGGACTTCGTAGTGGCACGTTGTCTACACAACAAGTTGTTGGCTTTGGGGTTGCTTGTGAACTGGCGATGAAGGAGATGGAGTATGATGAGCAGTGGATTAAGAGGTTGCAGGAGAGGTTGCTCAATGGGGTTAGAGAGAAGCTTGATGGGGTAGTGGTGAACGGTTCAATGGAGAATCGTTATGTAGGGAATCTGAATCTGTCGTTTGCTTATGTCGAAGGAGAGAGTCTTTTGATGGGTTTGAAGGAAGTTGCAGTGTCTAGTGGAAGTGCTTGCACAAGTGCGAGTTTGGAGCCTTCTTATGTGTTAAGAGCTTTAGGTGTGGATGAGGATATGGCTCACACTTCGATTAGATTTGGGATTGGTAGGTTTACCACGGAGGAAGAGATCGATAAAGCGATCGAGCTTACGGTCAAACAAGTTGAGAAGTTGAGAGAAATGAGTCCCCTTTATGAAATGGTTAAAGAAGGTATTGATATCAAGAACATACAATGGTCTCAACACTGATTCAACAGTTCTACTGAAACCGTGCGGTACAAGAGGGAAACTCGGGTCTGTGTACGGCCGGGTATGAGCCATGCTGAGATGTGAGTATGACCCGATGATCTGATCCTGAGTTCTTACTATGAACTTGTTGGTAATTTATCTATATTTGCTTTTCTAGATAGTTTTCAAGTGAGAGTTTCTTGTATGGTTTTGTAATAAACAGAGCAGGAACAAAACTTGGGTTGGATTGTGATCGTTTGGATGATTAATTTCTAGGTGTTATGAACCTTAATAATAATAGCTATTTTTATTTTATTTTAGTTTTTACTGCCTTTTTGGTATTAGCTTACTACTATCCAGAAGGTACTACAAATTTTGTTGTTTTTTTATGAAAAAATAAAAAGCAATTATACATATATATATATTTGTATTCCGTTTTTAATCCAGTTTTAGTTGTTTAGCATAAATGGTTTAGATGTTTTCCGAGGATAAATTAATTTTGTTATACTAGTTGCGAAAATTCTTTAACCCAAATTACATTGAGTATTATGACTATTTTCACCATGTTTACCTGTTTATTTAACCTGGTTTATGGTTTTTTTTCCACCTATTAGGTGTCGGGCGACTCACCAAGACTTCGAAGTAACAAAACATCAAATGTAAATTGATTATATGGTCTAAACTAAACATCACGATTACTTTGGGCCGATATACTATTAATGTTTTGAGTCGAAGTATACCAAAATCCCACGTGATTTGGTATGATAGTGTATTTTTAAATCTACGCTCGACCTGACCTTTGTTACAAACTCAAATATGATCCGAAATATGTAATAAACTTTAATATTTTTTTATTTATTTATTTAGGCAGTTTGATAGAAACAATTTAGTAGGTTACAACTTCCAGGAGGCCCATGGGAGACATGAATTGATACAAAATCCCATATTATAAATTCTCTACGTCAAAATAATAAGAACCATAGATTATGTTACGTACCACAACCATCATTTGATTGTGACATCACACCCTTTCAAGTTTGTAAACCACACGTTCGTATACATTTTCTTCCCCAACGTTTCTTCGCATTGTTTCTTATATAAAAAAGGAATTGAAATATTTAATGTTTTGCAATTGCACGTTTTTGCATTGAGTTTAAGGAAGACTTTAAGTTAATTTGTTAGAAAAAGGTCATGATTAGTTAATTTATTAGAATATCTTATAACATATACTAGGTTCTATTTTTAGGCGTGTCAATAGTGTATATAGTCTACTAGCTTTAGTTCAACTGGTAAAAACGTCCTCAATTTTATCCAAATATCCCAAGTTTTAAGTCGTTAAGCTTATGTACTGCTTGTAATTTGAGTTTTTTTTACTGAATAATCTATTATAAACTTCCGATGACAAAAAAGGCACTTGCCGAAAAATGACATGATAACATAATTTGATTGGCTTCAAAATTTAGGTGTTTTGAATAAAAATTTAGGAGTAGTTTATTAAATGAGTAGGCCAAGAGACGGCTCGCAATTAGCTGTGTGGAAAGCTAAACTATGTCTCCTTGTGTTAAAATGCTACCGTCCACGTCATCGTCCTAAATACTCAATTCCATTTGGCAACAAGATTTGTGTATATAAATACATGCACACTTATCATTCTCTTCTCATCAACTCAAAAACAAACAAGTAAAACACAAATAAATATTTTCTTTGTCATTTTTTATTTTAATACAAAATCCCACCATGGCTAAGAAATGTTTCCTTTCTTTTCCCGAAGCTCATTCTCTTTGCATTGTCACCCTCTTTACGCTAATGTTCATCCAGATTTCCGCCCGGCCAGCAACATTTGCCGATGATTTCAAAGCCGCATGGTCCGAATCTCACATCCGTCAAATCGACGGCGGAAAAGCTATCCAACTTGTCCTCGACCAGAGCACAGGTAAACCAAAACCATATAAAAATAAATGAAACTAAAACATTATTAGAATTAATTAAGAGGCTTAACTTAATGTAAGACACTCTCACATGTTCATATTTTGTTTCCTTCTTTTAATCAAAGGATGTGGATTTGCTTCAAAAAGAAAGTACCTATTCGGAAGAGTGAGCATGAAGATCAAACTCATTCCCGGCGACTCTGCCGGTACCGTCACCGCCTTCTACGTAAGTCTTTTATTATAATACCACGCCACTAGTTTTGAACATTTACATTCATCAACCAAACATACCGGATTCTTGAAACATTAACGGTCGATATGGGGATCATTCATGTCTGTCTATATAGATGAACTCGGATACGGACACCGTGAGAGACGAGCTCGACTTCGAGTTCTTGGGAAACCGAAGTGGCCAGCCTTACTCGGTGCAAACAAACATATATGCTCATGGTAAAGGAGATAGAGAACAAAGAGTTAATCTTTGGTTCGATCCGGCTTTGGATTTCCACACTTACACTATCCTTTGGACACACAAACACATTGTGTAAGCTTCAACAAACAAATTAAAGATCCCTCGTTAATTAAATCGAATCATCCCCAAAAGTCCTTTTTTTCCACTGTCTAATAAAGCCCTTAATTTAACGTGGGGATATTTGGTTTTAATCAGTTTTTACGTAGACGATGTGCCAATAAGAGAATACAAAAACAAGGAGGCCAAGAACATAGCCTACCCAACCTCACAACCTATGGGAGTTTACTCAACATTATGGGAAGCTGATGATTGGGCGACACGTGGTGGATTAGAGAAAATTGATTGGAGCAAAGCTCCGTTTTCTGCTTATTATAAAGATTTCGATATCGAAGCTTGTCCTGTTCCTGGACCCACCTTTTGTCCATCGAACCCTCACAATTGGTGGGAAGGTTACGCGTATCAGTCACTTAACGCCGTCGAAGCTAGACGTTACCGTTGGGTTAGAGTAAATCATATGGTCTATGATTATTGTACCGACCGGTCTAGGTATCCGGTCCCACCACTCGAGTGTCGTGCTTGAAAAATAATACCATGTCCATACGTACGTACAATGATCATGTTTCTTCTTGTACGAGATTTTATCTATATAAATTGTGGTAAAATGTGAATTCTGTATTATCTTATATGCAATTCTGCATAATACATAAGTAAAGTGGTGTGTAATGGCTAACCTGTGGTTATTTGAAACTCTTTATATATAAGTATAACTGATTTTGTAAGAAGAAAACGTAAAATTATGTTACAAGGATTGGTTGCACGAAGAAGATATTATTGATTTGGCCATATGGTCCCATTTCCAACAAAGGAGTCAGTTTTGCATTAAACCGTAAGAAGAAAATGTCTAATCAAGTTCAGAACTTGTTGAAATAATGTTTAACTCATCGAGAAATGCCAAGAAGACCATTTAAAAATTAATGGGCGTTGATATGGTATCTAAAATTTCAACTTTAGGATCGAACTAGTTCTCATTTACTTATATTTCTTACAAGTAATACATGGTGTACGAAGTCGTCGTTCATACACAGGCCATATTTATCTGGTTTTTTTTTTGGTGTGCATAGTCGAGTATACTAGATTAGATTTTGTAACTTGTATGGGGTCAAAATAAACTTACTTGTTACAAGTAACCACATGTTATTTTGTTTTAATGGAATTTGGTTGGTTTGAAAAAGGAGAAGGCGAGAAGCTATTTTGTTTAAATTAGTTTCGTAAACACAGATTGATTAAGCCACCGACACTACTACAGCTGGAGAGGAAGGCTTGTAGCCATGGAGAAAAACTGTTTTTATTGGTTTTAATTTAGTTACTAAGTTAAAGAGTTATTGCGTCAAACTCCACATTGATGGTGAACTGGTGATTGATACATCAGCTTTGGAATTGAGTGGCCACAAGTGAAAAAGAAGAAGGTACATTCACATTACTCATTTGAAAGCTACATGAGTTCTATCTTAAACAATACATAACAAAAATAGTAGAAAAAAGGGAGTTTTGTCCTCAGTCCTCACTATTCATCAGTCAACAATACTAAGTCTCTTTTAAATCATGTTTCATTAGACCATCAGAATAAAGCTAATTAGGAAGTATGGCTTCAAGTGTTTGAGCCTAACTAAGAGAGTGGTTTGTCTAATCTATTTTGTTCACGTTACTGATTTTGACTGCGACTGGGTCTGAACAGTAAGGGCAGTTCCCAAACAGAACATCAAATGACCTGCAAGAAATTGAATCATACTTGAGCCTTAGAGCATAAGACTTTTGTGCGTATGTGTGTGTGTGTGAGAGAGAGAGAGAGATTAAGGTTCCCACTTACTGTCTTGTTGTTGTGATAGACCTTAACCAGTCTGTGAGGCAAAGGCTATGGAAAGACTTATTGCAACTGGTGTTTTCGCATGTGTAGTCTGTTGGTGTCCCACTTCTAGCTCCGAGCTCCACATCTTTGTTCAAGTAAACGAGAAGTTAGTGAACTATACTACTCTGAACTATGAAGAGTTGATATTTTGGCGGTTGAGAAATCACCGGTGGGTAGAAACTGAGCATAGCAAATTCCGCAATCAACTTGCTGTTGATCGTCTTCATCTTGGAGACCTTGAGGTCTTGGAAGCTCCGTACCTAGAATACATTCGAGGTTCTCAGGAAATGATTTTTCCTTTGACCTGTGTGATCATAATTAATTAAACGTGATTCTTGCTTTCAACAATCCATAAAAAGCTCACTTCTCTGCTGATTCCATGCTATAAGCTATCGAAAGAGAAATTTTACCATTTTTTGCTATTTCTTCTCCATAACATATGTAAGTTGTTCATATGCATAGCTGAAGGCACAGGACCAATAAACCGGCACCTGTCTAAGCAATTCACTAGTGGGATAATGTCGAAAAGACGAGACAGTCGTGAGAGTGTATTTGACTAGAAACATACTCTGGAAGGGATTTAGGGTCGTCGAAGTTGATATGAACGATGAGGATGCAATCGTTTCCTGTGAGCCAAGTAGATAGATAACTGTTAGAAAACATAATTTAAATAGGATAGATAGAGAAAACAGATAAAGGTGTTAAACCAGCATGAATTCGACGGACAGGAGAGGAACGAGATGGTTGCTTAGCATCAACAACACAGAGAGATTTGTCGATATCGTCCAAGACAGACCAAAATTCCTGAAGATTGTCCAGATGCTGTTAACACACACAAAAAAGAAAATCCATTATTTGTTTGCTGATTAATGATTACTAAGAGAGAATGTAGCTAAGTCTTTATAAAGCTGAAACCTTTTGGAATTGGTGCATCACATCCTTCAATCTTGAGCTTGTTGACCATTCTAGAGTAAACATGTACGGCACATCCTGCGTCAAGCAAACGTTAATCCCAAAGAAAAAAGGCCAAGGAGGAGAGTGGAAAAGTTGAAAGAGAAAGCATTTAACTACAAACCGCGGAAACAGAAGGTGGGGTTTTAGGATAGTCTCTATTCAGTTGAATCTCTAACATGTGTGCTCTTCCCTTCTTATCTCTGTTTATGATGATGATGATGATGATAAAATGTTGAGCATACAAACAAATATAACAATGGCCAGATAGAAGAGTAATCACATTCTCCGAAGAATTCGAAGAAAAGCCCAAAGAGTTTCTGGGGAACTTACGAAATGTGAAAGCTGAAAAACGTTAAATCTCCACCTAATCTTCTTAGCGGTTCCCATCCAACTTCCTCTATCTACAAACCCGATACATAATAATCGTTCATCAACCAAAAAATTGTCTAATGTGAGAAATTCGATCTTAGAAAGGAAATTAGAGAAAAGACCGATGATTATTAACCTCCGAGTAAACCTTCTGGTAAAACGAAGACGACTTTGCTAATTCCTCACATCTCGCACGTCCTATAGATTCCTGAGAAAATTTATTTCCAGAAGCATTCATGAAGGCCTACTTCAAGTATGTAACCTACTATAGATTCTGTTTCTGTACTCTAAAATCATCGAAGATCATCTTCAAGCTCCGAAACTTCTGCATCTCATCGAATGCTTGCTTCTTCATGTTGTAGGAAGAATTCGAGTGTCACGGTTTTGGGTCGAACAGCCCAATATTTTATAAATCTTATTTAGGCCCCAGTTAATTTTCTCGTTTTAGAATATTATCTCTCTCTCTCGACTCTCGAGTCTTCGACTTTTCATATCTTTACTCCGTGCTAAGTAATATACTTATCCTTGTAGCCAAACGTGGCTTAATTTAAGGCGGTGCACTTTCTTACTTTTCCTTCTTTCTCTGTCTAGTTTTCGAGGGGTAGGAGCCACTTCACTGAGCCTCCCCATCTTTGATCTAGGTTCGTCTTCTTCTTCTTCTCCGTCTTGCTGAATCATCCTGCTTAATTAATTTTTGTCTCTTTTTATCATTTGTATACTCATTTCCTCTGTTGCCTGTTGGAAATACTGAAAATTGTTGAGCCGATTGTTCTGTTCAAATTTTTTGGGGATTTTTCGATCATCTTACGGTCAGATCGCTGATAATATATGGAATTAATTGGTTATTTTCGTTTCAGATTTGCTTGCATGAGATATAATAACTTATCGTTACTCGTTTATCCATTTTTTTCTTACTTTATCCACTTTCTTTTTTGAGTATTTTATTGTGTTGTTTAATGGATCGTTTCCAGGTTGAGAGAAAAAAAAAGACATTTGAAAAAATTCGGGAGACCTGGGGTTTGTATGAATTGTTGTTGCACATAGAACACTTGAGCTATGGCTTGGTTTAGAACTGGTTCCTCTGTGGCAAAGCTTGCCATTAGAAGGACACTGTGTCAGTCTCAGTGTGGCTCTTATGCCACTAGAACAAGGGTTTTGCCTTCTCAAAGCAGATATTTCCACTCTACGATACTCAAATCAAAGGCAGAGTCTGCTGCACCTGTTCCACGTCCGGTCCCACTATCTAAGCTGACTGATAGCTTCTTAGATGGAACTAGCAGTGTGTATCTAGAGGAGCTACAAAGGGCTTGGGAAGCTGATCCCAACTGTGTGGATGAGTCGTGGGATAACTTCTTCAGGAACTTTGTGGGTCAAGCCGCTACATCGCCTGGAATCTCGGGGCAAACCATTCAAGAAAGCATGCGTTTGTTGTTGCTTGTCAGAGCTTACCAGGTTAATGGCCACATGAAGGCCAAGCTGGATCCTTTGGGTCTAGAGGAGAGAGAGATTCCAGAAGATCTCACGCCAGGTCTTTATGGATTTTCAGAGGCTGATCTTGACAGGGAATTCTTTCTGGGTGTATGGAGGATGTCCGGGTTTCTGTCTGAGAACCGCCCTGTTCAAACACTAAGGGCTATACTGTCGAGGCTTGAGCAGGCTTACTGTGGGACTATAGGGTATGAGTACATGCACATTGCTGATAGGGAAAAGTGTAACTGGTTGAGAGACAAGATCGAGACCCCAACACCTCGACAGTACAATAGTGAGCGACGGGTGGTTATTTATGATAGGCTTACCTGGAGCACACAGTTTGAGAACTTCTTGGCTTCTAAGTGGACCACTGCCAAAAGATTTGGACTCGAAGGTGCAGAGTCTTTGATCCCTGGTATGAAGGAGATGTTCGATAGAGCTGCAGATCTCGGGGTAGAGAACATAGTTATCGGAATGCCTCACAGGGGTCGACTTAACGTTCTGGGTAATGTTGTGAGAAAACCACTACGTCAAATCTTCAGTGAGTTTAGCGGTGGCACTAAGCCAGTAGATGAAGTTGGGCTTTACACCGGGACAGGTGATGTGAAATACCATTTAGGTACATCTTATGATCGTCCGACTAGAGGAGGCAAACATCTTCACTTGTCTTTGTTGGCAAACCCCAGTCACTTGGAAGCAGTTGATCCTGTTGTGATCGGTAAAACCAGAGCGAAACAGTACTACACAAAAGATGAGAACAGAACAAAGAACATGGGTATTTTGATCCATGGGGATGGTAGCTTCGCCGGACAAGGTGTTGTATATGAAACTCTGCATCTTAGTGCACTTCCTAACTACTGTACTGGTGGAACAGTGCACATTGTGGTGAATAACCAAGTGGCTTTCACAACCGATCCCAGGGCAGGAAGGTCTTCTCAGTATTGCACTGATGTTGCAAAGGCTTTAGATGCCCCGATTTTTCATGTCAATGCGGATGACGTTGAAGCAGTGGTGCATGCATGTGAGCTTGCTGCGGAGTGGCGCCAGACCTTCCATTCTGATGTTGTTGTTGATTTAGTATGCTACCGTCGCTTTGGACATAACGAGATAGACGAACCGTCATTCACACAGCCAAAAATGTACAAGGTCTGCCTATTTTACTGTCCATCTCTTGGAAATGTTTTAAACCAAATTCCAGTTTCATTCTGAGCTCCTTCCAATATTATTTTTCTTCTAATTTCTCTTTATACGGATGTCACCTGTTGTTGGTAGGTGATACGCAGTCATCCCTCGTCGCTTCAAATCTATCAGGAGAAGCTTTTGGAATCTGGACAGGTAAACCAAGGAGATATTGATAAGATTCAAAAGAAAGTAAGCTCAATCCTCAATGAAGAATTTGGGGCAAGTAAAGACTATATTCCACAAAAACGTGACTGGCTGGCAAGTCATTGGACTGGATTCAAGTCACCGGAGCAGATTTCTAGGATCCGAAACACTGGGTATAAACTTCTTATTTTATATAATTTGCCATTGCTTTTAACCTTTTTTGTTTCATTGTAACATTTTACTGGGTACAATTCCCTTGATTTCTTGCAGTGTTAAGCCAGAGATTTTGAAGAATGTAGGAAAGGCAATCTCAACCTTCCCAGAGAACTTCAAGCCACACAGAGGAGTGAAAAGAGTTTATGAACAGCGTGCCCAAATGATTGAGTCGGGAGAAGGCATTGACTGGGGACTTGGAGAAGCTCTTGCTTTTGCTACACTAGTTGTGGAAGGCAACCATGTCCGGCTAAGTGGTCAAGATGTTGAAAGAGGGACTTTCAGTCATAGACACTCAGTGCTTCATGATCAAGAAACCGGCGAGGAGTATTGTCCCTTAGATCACCTGACCATGAACCAAGACCCTGAAATGTTCACTGTCAGCAACAGGTATATGTATTTTTTAAATCTCTAGAGATCATAACCACTCTTCATTTGTTTTTACATGATCTTCGTGTTGTTTTTTTGCATGCAGCTCTCTTTCAGAATTTGGTGTTCTCGGATTTGAACTGGGTTACTCTATGGAAAATCCAAATTCTTTGGTAATATGGGAAGCTCAGTTTGGAGACTTTGCCAATGGCGCACAGGTGATGTTTGATCAGTTCATTAGCAGTGGGGAAGCAAAATGGCTCCGTCAAACCGGGCTAGTAGTTCTACTTCCTCATGGATATGATGGTCAGGGTCCTGAACATTCCAGTGGAAGATTGGAGCGTTTCCTTCAGGTAATGTTTATTATATAAAGTGATACTTACCATTAAGTTTCTCCCCACTTATCATAGTTTTTTTTTCCCTCTCAATTGTAGATGAGTGATGACAATCCTTATGTTATCCCTGAGATGGATCCAACTCTTCGAAAGCAGATTCAAGAATGTAATTGGCAAGTTGTTAATGTAACTACACCTGCCAATTATTTCCATGTTCTGCGTCGACAGGTAAATTAATGAGACGATGTAAAATATCTATCCTTGGTATATAAAAGATTGCTGCTTTACTTGTCGGTTTTTTCACACACTTGATGTCATCCATTTGCAGATACATAGGGATTTTCGCAAGCCGCTTATAGTGATGGCTCCGAAAAACTTGCTCCGTCACAAAAAATGCGTATCAAATCTCTCTGAATTCGATGATGTTAAAGGACATCCTGGGTTTGACAAGCAAGGAACCAGATTTAAACGGTTAATTAAAGATCAAAGTGGTCACTCTGATCTGGAAGAAGGCATTAGACGTCTAGTCCTCTGCTCTGGGAAGGTAAAAACAAAAGATGCAATCTTTTCCTTTTTACTTGGCTTAAAAAAAAAAACTCAGGTACTGTGAGTTTATTGGGATTTGTTGATCCAGGTCTACTATGAGCTTGACGAAGAGCGACAGAAGTCTGAAACAAACGATGTAGCCATTTGCAGAGTAGAGCAGCTATGTCCATTCCCTTATGATCTCATTCAAAGAGAACTAAAGCGATATCCAAGTACGGCTCTTAAAAAAATATCGAAACTCTTGCATTGTATATGAATTCTGTTAAAACCTATGTGACTCTTTGGTTTTGTGTTCTTACAGATGCAGAGATCGTTTGGTGTCAAGAAGAGCCAATGAACATGGGAGGATATCAGTATATAGCACCAAGGCTTTGCACCGCCATGAAAGCAATGAAAAGAGGAATCTTCAACGACATCAAATATGTTGGTCGTCTTCCTTCAGCTGCTACAGCCACAGGGTTTTACCAGCTTCATGTTAAGGAGCAAACCGATCTTGTTCAGAAAGCTCTTCAACCTGACCCCATCACCCCTGTCATCCCTTAGATCCGTTAAATAAACACAAAGAAAGCTCCCTTGAGACTCTCTGTATAAAGAAGAGAGTAAACAGAGATTCATGAGAATCTTTGGTTATCAAATTGGGAAAAAAAAAACATATGTTTGCTAGACATTCACACCGCTGTTTGCTAAACATATGTTTGGTTTGAAAGTTTTTCGGTTCAGGTTCATATTTGAGTTTAGTCCGGTTTTGGATGATAAAAATATACAAATTCAAAATAAAAATTCATAATTAATGTCTTGCTTTGTTCATCAAAATTTTTAGGTTTGGTTTATCCTTTTTCTACTTGGTTCTACTATTTTACAATTGGTTCGAATTCGGATTATTGACTACGGTTTGATGAAAAGTTCGGTTGGTTTATGCTCTCACAACTGGCACTAGTGACTGGTAATATATCACATTTGGTGGCGGTTGCTATCTTGTAGTTGTTGAGAAAGCTTTCAAAGCTGAGAAAAATGGCGAACCATTTCCGATTGCTTCTGATCATCACTTTACTTTTCATCATCGTTTTCTCTACTATATCGTCTCCGTCAAACGGATCGCCACTGTCTTCTTCTTCTTCTTCAGTGTTGTCCAAGCGTTTGCCTCGTTTTCCTCGCCACACTTTCAAGAACCCAACTAGAATCCAGCGGTTCCGGGGAGATGGAAGCGGGTACAAATACGAGACTAAGTTCTTCTCCCAGCAGCTTGATCACTTCAGCTTCGCCGATCTTCCGAAATTCTCGCAACGGTACTTGATAAATTCCGATCACTGGCTCGGTGCTTCTGCGCTCGGGCCTATCTTCCTCTACTGCGGCAACGAAGGCGATATCGAATGGTTTGCTACAAACTCTGGATTCCTTTGGGAGATCGCTCCCAAGTTTGGCGCCTTGCTTGTTTTCCCTGAGGTTCGTTGATGTCTTTCCTCTTTGATAGCCAATGAGATAAAGCAATTCGTTGCTGATTTTAAGGATTTGGTGTAGCATAGGTATTATGGAGAGTCGATGCCTTATGGAAGCAGGGAAGAAGCTTACAAGAACGCTACCACATTATCGTATCTCACAACTGAGCAAGCTCTTGCGGATTTCGCTGTTTTTGTGACTGATTTGAAACGGAACTTGTCTGCGGAAGCATGCCCAGTTGTGTTGTTTGGAGGATCATATGGTGGAAGTAAGTTAAAGGGAATCATATTTGATTATTCTGTGCTCAGTGGAATGACTTTGAATGAGACTTTGGAGTGACTTGTTTTTGCGTGTGTTGGTATTGACGCAACAGTGTTAGCAGCATGGATGAGGCTCAAGTATCCTCACATTGCAATAGGAGCATTAGCTTCCTCAGCTCCAATTCTTCAGTTCGAAGATATCGTACCTCCTGAGACGTTTTATGACATTGTCTCGAATGATTTCATGGTATTGATTTTTTTTTTTGGTTTTTCTTTGCTAGTCATTTGGCTTTGTCTTTTCTTATTGTGACTGTCTTTTTGGCTGGCAAACTTTGTAGCGTGAGAGTAGCAGCTGCTTCAACACCATCAAGAACTCGTGGGATGCGATAATAGCAGAAGGTCAGAAGGAGAATGGTCTTCAGCAGTTGGCCAAAACTTTTCACTTTTGTCGGTAAGCAAGAAAACTGGAGTTGGTTTAATGGTTTGTTATCTATTGTGTTTGAGCTAAATTGAGTGGTGAGCCTGTTTTGCAGGGTGTTGAACAGTACTGATGACCTTTCAGACTGGCTGGATTCTGCTTATAGTTATTTAGCAATGGTGAACTATCCGTATCCCGCTAACTTTATGATGCCTTTGCCTGGACATCCCATTAAAGAGGTATATTTTGCGAAGTGACGCTTTATGATATGCTAATGATATTTTCCCCTAAGATTGATATTTCGGAGAAAATCATGCATTCGTTAACTCATGTGGATTGTCATCTTTACATCAATGACCCTAAGAGCTTTAATTGCATCCGTTTATTGTTCAACCACGTCCGTTGAAGTCCTGATCATTTGTTGTTCAATGTGATTTATCTTTCTGTAGGTCTGCAGAAAAATCGATGGTGCTAGTAGTGATGCTAGCATCCTGGATCGCATATTTGCAGGAATAAGTGTGTACTACAACTATACTGGTGATGTTGACTGCTTCGAGTTGGATGATGACCCCCATGGTTTAGATGGATGGAACTGGCAGGTCTGAAGAACAACTGCTATATTTATCTTCCTTTTCCAGAAAATTTTGAATTAATCTCCTTTTGCCTTCGGTTTCCAATAGGCGTGCACGGAGATGGTAATGCCCATGTCTAGCAGCGAAGAAAACAGCATGTTTCCAGCTTATGCTTTCAATTACTCATCATACAAAGACGAATGCTGGAATACATTCCGAGTCAATCCAAGGCCTAGATGGGTCACAACAGAGCTCGGTGGACATGTAAGACATCTTTTTAATAAACTCATGCTTCTTTCTATGCCATAATCTGAATCTGTACTCTCTCTCTCTCTCTCTCCCCCTCCAATGTAAAAGGACATAGAGACCACCTTGAAGTCGTTTGGAAGCAATATCATTTTCTCTAATGGTCTGTTAGATCCTTGGAGTGGTGGCAGGTAAGAACATTTCTTGCTTTTACTCAAATCCTGAGAGCTATATTTCAAAACGTATCTCGTAATCTCGATGAATGATTGACTCGTAAAAATGCAGTGTTCTCAAGAACTTATCCAATACCATTGTTGCTCTTGTCACTCAAGAAGGTATAACTAAAAGCCTCAACTATCTTTCACCTGACTTATCTGTTCTTTCATTTGCATCGACTTTAACTTTTTGATCGTAGTAGCAATAGTCTACATTTCATATAATCACATGAACTCACGATTCAAATCAATGCTTTGAACTAATTTTGGTATTTATCTCAATACATCATAAATCATCATCATCATCATAAATCCTCTTTGAAACTCGCAAACTAAGTTAATAATGGTTTGTTTTTTTTTCCTCAGGTGGACATCATTTGGATCTACGACCTTCAACTCCAGAAGACCCAAAGTGGCTTGTGGAGCAGCGAGAAGCCGAGATACGGTTGATCCAAGGATGGATCAGAACTTATCGACTAGAAAAAGAAGCTCAATTTTCTCTGTTAAAACGGTCTTGGTAAGAGAGCAATGTAAAGAATCTTCTCAGTTCATTTCATTCCCACGAAACACAGAATCTGCAATCTCTGTAACACATCTTGTTTGGAAAATCCTTGTAAGCTCTCAATGTTCACTAGTCTTTTTTTTGTACTTGCTTGACTTTTTGGATTTTAGGAGTTTGTTGAAGTGATTATATACTGTACCTTGTAAGATTCAATAAAAGTGATTGTTTGATAAAAAAAATTTGTTTTCGATTACTGAAAATAATTATTATCACACACGCAAGAAGAAGGCCAAAATAAGATTTATGGGCTGGCTACAGACACAAACACATCTGTCAAGTAAAAGAAAGATCTTAAAGAATCATAATTTCTCAATATTTAATTTTCAATAACATTATGGTTTAAGTGAAGGACAATGAATTAAGAAATTAGAATTTTAATTACTATATATAGTCTTGGGAGACTCGACAAAAAAAAAAAAAAAAAAAAAAAAACTATAGTCTTGGGAGAAATCGGCAATTTTAATTACCATATATTATCACCTCTTTTAAACTCCAATGAAAATTTGGTTTTGGCCGCTTAAAACGAAATTGTGAGGCTTTAAACGCCATCGTTTTGATATTTTGACTGGTCGAATTTAAACCCTTTTGACTAAATTGTCGACCTAAAAAGCGAAGAGAGAGACCAGACTTCTCTGCGACGCAGTGTCACAGAACTCGTCTTTGCTTTGCGAGAGAGAGACAGAGAGAAAGCGAAAAAGTGAAGAGACTATTGTCGTGGTTTTGATCGGAGATCGGAGGAATTTGGGTTCAATTCTCCATCTTTGTAAGATTGATAGAGGGGATGGCGACTTCTCGTTCGGAGCGATTCCCGATAACACCGAATACGGCTTCTAATAGATTGACGATTACGCCTGGTTCTAGGGTTTTGAAAAGCCCTCTTACTGAAGAAGTCATGTGGAAGCGTCTCAAGGAAGCTGGGTTTGATGAACAGTCGATCAAGAATAGAGATAAAGCTGCCCTAATCGCTTACATCGCCAAGCTAGAATCTGAGGTTTGCTTCTTGATTCTTCGTAAAAATTCTCGAATTTTCGTTCTGTAAAATTACCTTAATCTTTAGGGTTAGCTAGTGTTTTGACTAGAGCAGTACGCGGGAAAACAATGGAATCAAACTAGGGACTGTTATAATTACTGGGAGTAGCTTGTGACCTAGAAGTTAAGTTCTAAGTTCTTATGAATTTAATTCTTCCGGGTATAGAGGAATTACACGACCGTTCGTTTTTCTGAATGCCCATGGTTTTTATTTCAGTCATAGTGTGTACCGTTTTGTTGCTCATGGGTCAATGCTTATAATTTATTGAATGGAATTAGTTTGCTGGAGTTATTGCTTTGCTTTTAGAACTTTAAAAGTCTCGATTTTGTTTCTCTTTTGAGCTTGATTAGTTGTGATTGTTATATTGTCAGTTTTTTTGTTCTTTCCTTTCGCGTGTTTCTTTATCAAATATCATATTGACATTGCTATGTTGATCGTAATTTGGATGTAGGTTTATGATTACCAACACAACATGGGTCTTCTAATTCTGGAGAAAGACGAGTTATTGTCGAAGTATGAGGAGGTTAAGGCCTCTGTGAATGAAGCCGACCTAGCACATAGGCGAGATCAATCTGCCTATGTCTCTGCCTTAGCTGAAGCAAAGAAACGAGAAGAGGATTTGAAGAAGGATGTTGGGATTGCAAAAGAGTGTATTTCTAGTGTAAGACCTTAACTTTGAGAGGGCCAGCAAAATACGTTCTTACAGCCTTTTTATTGATTTTCTTATTGTCCTTTTGTCCTCAGCTGGAAAAGACTTTGCATGAGATGCGTGCAGAATGTGCCGAGACGAAGGTTTCTGCTGGGAGTAAAATGTCTGAAGCTCATCTTATGATTGAGGATGCTCTGAAGAAATATGCAGATGCTGAAGCAAAAATGCGAGCAGCAGAAGCTTTACAAGCAGAAGCTAACCGGTATCACCGAATTGCAGAGAGAAAATTGAAGGAAGTTGAAAGTCGTGAAGATGATCTTGCTCGGCGCCTTGCATCTTTCAAGTCTGAGTAAGTCTTTTTGTCTCTGTTAACTGGACTACATGACTTGTAATATTAAGGTGCCGTATTAAGTTGTTGAGTTGGTTCTTTCATTCCATGGTTTAGTTCTGAAACGAGAGAGAACGAGATTGATATTGAACGGCAGACTTTAAGTGAGAGGCGAAAGAGCTTGCAGCAAGAGCATGAAAGGTTATTGGATGCACAAGCTTCACTAAATCAGCGAGAAGATCACATTTTTGGTAGATCCCAAGAATTAGCTGAACTTGAAAAGGGGTTAGAGTCTGCAAAGACCACATTTGAGGAGGAACGTAGAGCCTTGGAGGACAAAATCTCCAATTTGGAGATCGCATTAGCTTCGCTTGCTAAAAGAGAAGAGGTTTGTATGCACATAAATATCTGTTATTTCTGGTTTTGCTATCAGGTCAACCAAAAAATGTTCTAGGAGACGAGATAGTATTGTTTCATGTTTCATTTCCTTGCAAAAAACAGGCTGTCTCTGAAAGGGAATCTTCAGTACTTAAGAAGGAGCAAGAGCTGCTTGTTGCTGAAGAAAAAATTGCCACCAAGGAATCTGTGAGTTTACCTGTTCACCCTAACAAATTCTCTACTTATCATACATATGTTTCGTTGTGTGCTCATTTGTTTGTGAGAGTTCACAGAAAATGCTTTTAAACAACCTCCACAGGAACTGATTCAAAAGGTCTTAGCAAATCAAGAAGTTATCCTGAGGAAAAGAAAATCCGACGTGGAAGCTGAGTTGGAAAGTAAGTGCAAATTGGTGGAAGATGAAATCGAGAGCAAGAGACGGGCCTGGGAATTAAGGGAGGTTGATATCAGGCAGAGGGAAGACCTAGTTGGTGAAAAGGAACATGACTTGGAAGTTCAGTCAAGGGCAACAGCAGAGAAAGAAAAGGATATAACAGAGAGGTCTTATAATCTTGACGAGAAAGAGAAGAATTTGAATGCTAGAGAGAAAGATATTAACCTTAAGACCACTCTGCTGGAGAATGAGAAGGAACGGCTTAAACAATTAGACCTAGATTTGCAGCAGTCTTTGATGTCTTTAGAAGAGAAGAGAAAACGTGTTGACTGTGCAACAAGAAAACTTGAAGCCTTGAAGAGTGAAACAAGCGACTTATCTTTTCTGGAGATGAATCTCAAGAAGGAGCTAGATGACTTGAGGGCTCACAAGCTTGAACTGTTGGCTGAAGCAGATAGATTGAAGGTGGAGAAAGCTAAATTTGAAGCTGAGTGGGAACACATTGATGTGAAAAGGGAAGAATTAAGAAAAGAAGCGGAGTATATTACTCGTCAAAGGGAGGCTTTCTCGATGTATCTCAAGGAGGAGCGTGATAACATTAGGGAGGAAAGGGATGCATTGAGAAATCAGCACAAAAACGATGTGGAGGCGCTAAACCGAGAGCGTGAAGAATTTATGAATAAAATGGTGGAGGAACATTCAGAATGGCTCAGCAAGATACAGCGCGAACGCGCTGACTTCTTGTTGGGCATTGAGATGCAGAAAAGAGAGTTAGAGTATTGCATCGAAACCAAACGAGAAGAATTAGAGAATTCTTCGAGGGATAGAGAAAAGGTATTTGAGCAAGAGAAGAAGTTGGAAGAGGAGCGCATACAGTCCCTCAAGGAATCTTCGGAGAAAGAGTTAGAACATGTCCAGGTGGAATTAAAGAGGTTGGATGCTGAGAGGCTGGAGATCAAATTGGACCGCGAAAGGAGGGAGAGAGAGTGGGCTGAGCTAAAAGATTCGGTTGAGGAGCTAAAAGTTCAAAGAGAAAAACTAGAGACGCAAAGGCATATGCTTCGAGCTGAGAGAGAAGAAATCAGACGTGAGGTTGAAGAACTGAAGAAGTTAGAGAATCTGAAAGTTACACTAGATGATATGTCCATGGCTAAAATGCAGCTGTCCAATTTAGAGCGTAGCTGGGAAAAGGTTTCTGCTTTGAAGCAGAAGGTTGTTACTCGGGATGATGAATTATACTTCCAGAATGGAGTCAGCACTGTGAGTAATAGCGATGATGGCTATAACTCTTTTATGGAAAGACAGAATGGCTCAACGCCGTCATCCGGCACTCCATTTTCATGGATAAAACGATGCACTAATCTGATATTCAAGGCTTCTCCAGAGAAATCACCCCCAATGGATCCTCATCAAGAAGGAGGATTGCCTTTAGAAAACTTGAAGCTAGATTCATCGAGAAGAGAAGAAAGGGCTTACACCGAGGGTCTTTCTATCGCAGTTGAAAGACTTGAAGCAGGAAGGAAACGACGTGGTAACACTGGAAGGGACACCAGTGGGCCAAGCAGTAACAAGAAGAGGAAGCATGATGATGTTACCCAAAAACCAAAACCTTCTGATGAAACTGATCCCCACAGGTTAGGTTTAATCTGATCGCTCTATAGCAGATTTTATGCATTTTTCTCTTGCTTTTTTTTGGTATTAAAGCTTAATCGTGTATCTTCATTTTTCTCAGTGTAATTTCAAGCCCTCAAAATGTGCCTGAGGACAAACATGAACTGCCATCAAGCCAAACCCAGACACCAAGTGGTATGGTAGTCATCAGTGAAACGGTGAAGATCACAAAAGTAACATGTGAGACAGAGGTCATCAACAAAGTGACAAACATTGACTGCTCAGAAAATCCTTCTGAAGCAGGAACAACGATGGTAGAGGAGCAACATGATAGTGGTTGCAATGAGGTTGGTTTCACACACACCCTCTCGAAAGCAAAATGTCTCTAATAACTTATCAGCAAACAGGATAACGAATAAATACTCTTTGCCTTTTGCTGTAGACCGTGGTAAACGTTTCTGAAACAGTGACGCGGAAAGAAGCTGAATCTGATAACAGAAAGGAGCAGGATTCTGATGATGGTGGCGTTGTAGCATGAGTTAGCTTGGTGCAGAAGGAACAACCATTTTAGGAAAGCTGCAACCGAAGATATATGCATATAAGGTACATCTCAGTCTTCATCAAATAACCCCCCACATGTGAGACTGAGTTCAAATTCACTAACAAGAGTTATTGTTTCTTGTTTGTTGATGCAGAAACTCTATGAATCCTTTTGGGTTTGTTTTTAGATAAGATTTTAGTATGTAAATTGATTTGATTTGTTCTAAAAACTCTCTCTCTCGATGCGATTACTCAATAGTCATTTTTTCTTTCTTTCAGACTTCAAGTGAGTAGTGTTCGTAGGTAAGGCAGGTAGGAAAGAACTTTGGTTTCTTGTGTGTTGCAATGTGTGTGCGTGTCTGAAGATAATTTGTCGGTTTCAAGACTAAAAGTTGAAATCAGTTTCGGGTTTTATTTGTATTTTCCTCTTGTTGATGATGTCTTTTAGCTCATCAGTTAAGTGTCAACGTTATCATTATCTTCCCTTTTGTAACACTCGTTCGTCATTTTCAACTACTAAAATGGGCGTACCCGGCCCAGCTCAGTTATATACGTCTAATTTCTGGCCCATTTATATAGGTTCGAGTTAAACCCAAAACGAAGAACATATCAAAATAAATGCTAGTTTCATGAACTTTATGTGTAGACGCAGACGATCTTCAAATTTTATGCTTCTAAGGTTTCAATTTGATTCTTTAAAATTTAACAATATGCCTTCTGTCTTTTTAAACTTGAACATCATTGAGTTTAAAATCTTGTTAGAATATATTGTTCTCCATAGTCCAACTTTAAACTACAATTTTAAAGAGGTATTATTATTTATTTGGTTGATGAACCTATTTTAAAACCAGGAAAATTTTGATTTATCATATTTGATTGATCGAATATCAATTTCTATAAGTTTTACTGTAGTGTGCAAAAGTACTTTATCGCTCTTTTTAAAAATTGTTTTGTTAATGAGATATATGAAGAATGATGTGGCTATGGTAAGTGGCTTAACGGGTGAAGAATTGGAAGCAAATTGCGTGTGAAATGGGAGAAGAAATCGGCATTGATTTGTGGGGTTTTTTTTTCGCTTAATGACTGACAGCTTAATTCTACTTTGCAACTTGACGTGCATTAATTTTAATCATATACTAATTAGTATTTATTTACCCAAAATCAAAATCTAATTTAAACCCCACTATCTTTGTCTTTGGACCGACACATTTCCCTCCTATCCCGGTTCAAACCCTTAAGATTACTAATTTCTGAATATAATCTCCAAATAATCAAATTGTCTTTTCATGATTTAAAAAAAAAAATGTTTTCCTGATTTTTTTTTTGGAAATATTATACTAAATGCTATATACTTGAGGAAGATCTTATTAAACTCACTAAGCTTCTGGCGACAAGAGGAGACGTAGAACTTTATGCAAAAGGATGTCATGATTATCTTATGATTACGATATAATAACCTGTTTTATGGTTATTAATTATTTTTTAGAGTAGTGAAACAAAAAGAGAGTGTATACTTGTCACGAGAGTCATATCATAGAACTCACTTTTTTGGGCAAAATAGAACTCACTCATTTTTTAACTTTTGAATACTTCCAAAAAGTAAATGGATCCTAAAAAAGTATGAGCAAAAAAGAAGAAGATAAAATCATAGAAGAGAGAAAGATGCCTTGAGATATATATATTACAGTGACCTTCCTCTTCTCTACCTTTACCTTTTGTTTGACCATTATTTTCTCCTTTTCACTGTTTTCTTTTTTAGAAAATTTGTTTGTTTAATGGATCATTCCATTTTAGTCAATCATATTTGTTATCATCGAAAATATTTTAAAATTTGAGTTCCATTATTATTATTTTTTTGGAGAAACTTTTAATTTCCAATCTGGAGATAACTATTTAAATTAAACTGGAATTCATATGATTTGTTCCTGTGTGATTTCACATATGATTTTATTTATAATATAACTTTTATAATGAGTTTATACTGAAAAAAAAAGTTTATCACTTTTTATGGGAAAATTGATAAAAGAAGGGATGGCCTACGCTGCAAGACCAATTCCTATTTCCTACTAGTGTTCTTGAAATCTGAATACACTGTTTTTTATTTTATTTATTTTATTATCCTAGCTTCAAAGTTCAGACTTTATTTAACTTTTCCATAAATAAATATATTTTATCCATGACGGAACATATTTTATTCCACAAAAACATATAAACACAGTGATTTCTAGCTCAATAATTTGAAGACTTTATATTTTTCCAAGTGCTTTGACTTTTAACGAATTATTAACAATCACAAGTCAAGTCAACCTTTTTGTTTCCTCTAGAAGCCTTGGGTTCATGTATTAAACTAGAAAATTAGCCAATTTTTACCACTCAAGATTTATTTGTTTATGAGTTGCAAATTATGAATAGAGTTTTCACGATGTTAAGGAAGTATATTCAATCTTATTTCACTTGTTTTGCAAGAAGCTACATAATATATAATAAACAATACACCCAAATTGACCAACATTTATTTGACATAAAAGATTAAGATAAAAAATAATATTAACCATATACGTTTATACAAGAAGGTCCAAACATTGTGACGCCACTTAACAAGAGGTAGTGGGTTTTCTTGTTCCTTAATCTCAGCTGCCGTGGGAAATAAGTGTAATTAGTAAATTTATTATTAGAACGTAATTGTTAGATTTATAACATCCTACATCCCTATCAAATATTTAGTTAAATGTTGATTTCGGGTCCATGGGACAGGCGTCATTAGGTTCTATTTTAAAACTGCATGATCATTAAGTGGCTACATTTTTAAATGAATTAAACAATATCATATATCAAGTCATTATTGTCACCGTGAGTTTGAAATTTGTCATCTTATACCTTTTATATTATAGACAAATGTTTTGTGTTAGGAGATATCGGTAGATTATATCATACTTGATCCAGAAAACTTATAATATATAATATTATTTGAAACTCAATGTTTTATATAAAAATACTGCAACATTTAGAAAGGAAAATTAGGTGTTATAAAAGCTTATTATTAAATATAAAAAAACAACAGTTTAAAGTAACAAAAAGAGACAATATTTAAAAAAGAAAAACGTTTATATAATAATTACATTAAAAATAAATTACATATTCCCTCTCATCTTTTTATCATATATTTTATTTTAAAAAACTAATCAACATATCATCCATAATAAAAATATAGTACTATCAATAAAAAATTGTTTTATCAATCATCTATTCCACACAAAAAAAATGAAAAATAGTATAATTTTGTTTTACCGATCATCTAGTATCCATAAAATAGTTAGTGGTAACTTTTCTTCGAGGGTTGGCAAAATTTTGTTCACCAACCATAACGGAATTCACTCTTACAAATTTCAATATCTCTACCTTTCATTTCATCTCTTTTGGTACATATCATTAACTCCTATCCTTTTCAGAAGGCAAAAATATATATTAGATAGCTAGTGATTCATCATCCACCAAATGTGATCCTATGATTGGTGATATTTTGGAAAATTCTATTGATGTATTTGAAATTTATCTTGACTATTTTGATATATACACTGTGGATAAGTTGGATTTGTATTAGTATTTATTTATCCACAAACGTTTACGACAATTAGTCGTATAAGAATGGACAATAAGTATTCGATTACGATGCTTCTATTTTGTTAAGTTTATGCTTTGTTTTAAATATTTTTATCTTTGATCAAAAAAATATTTCTATGTTAATGATTATTTTTATTGGTATAACAAAGACGTACGAATAGTCTATATATATGTATATATATAGTAGATATAGATTGTATATAGATATCCATTATAAAAATTCAGTTAGGTTAGATGATACATAAAATATCAAGTCTTCTCATGTTTAATATATATATTGATCAGTGAGATATTGCTCAATTTATGTATATAAAAATGAATTATGAATTTTCTTAGTTGATTCACACATTTCCATCACCAAACATTCGAAGTATTTGTCTCTATCTCGACAACATATAATACACTCCTTAATTTGTACTATACTACTACGTACAAAATCAATTACTAAACAATATTGATATATATATATATATATATATAACTGTCTAATTTATACAAGTCTAATTTAACCCATACCCATTAGGAGTACCCTCACGAATGATTTGGTTTCAAATTTTTGGAGAGTATTGAATTGTGTTATTATTCTTGATGATCAATTCCATCACATGTAATAGTAGTACACATAATTGGTCTTTCTCTATTATTCGTACGCTGCCATGCAAGTGGGGCTTCAAGCTTTCGTAAAATATAGGTAATAACCATATATGCAGTTATATACACTTTTACTAATTAAATTATATGTGTTAATCACACTCCTAAACCTAAACTGCAGATTAGAAATGATCAAAATATTAAGTATTATAAAATAATAATCCACTACTTGCTATATAGGACATGAATCATGAGGAAACCTATAGCGTGTAATATCATACAACAAATCATAATTATGCGTATACATTTACTAGAAACATAGAATGGCGGATTTTTTTATTTTTATTTTTAAGAATAGCAGAAGTTAAAAGATTATTGACTGTAAATAAAACGATAGATTTCTTTGAAAAAATATAAATAAACAGTGATAGCATAACGATTAATTTTCAACAATAGGCTAGAGCCTATATAGTATACATTTCCGAGTCTTCTTAAGACAAAACTCAAAAGTAAAAATAAACTTAGAATTTGGTGCAACTCATGCACTCATAATATCATATTATATACATATGTTAACATGTATGTCCATCTTGTTCTTTCAACTTAAACTTGTTCACGTTCATTAATTGCTTTTTAAAATAAAATAAAATAAATCATCCTTATATGTAAGAAAATAAATAATTGAAGTTAGATTACCACAGCCTAAAATCGAGAATAGAAGGAAAACATAATTGCAAAAACAAAAATCGGAGAAGAGGAAGGAAGAGAGAAAGAGTCAAAGGGTGGCGGGCGGCTATGCAAACATTATCTTTATGGGGTTTATGAGCCAAAATTTTTTTTTTTTAAAAACTAAATGCTTTTCTTTGTTATTGAATCTCTAGATTCTGATGTAAGAGCAAAGACAAAGGAGAAAAACATTAGTCTCCCTCTTCTCTGTCATTTCTAATTCTAATAGTAGTTTATCACATAATTATCATGGCATTTTCCAATTCCATAAAGTCACTTTTTGATTGATATATATTTTTCTAATTCACTACTTTTTGACATCTTCAATCACATGAAGGACTCTCTCCTCCAGCTATTATATACATCTCTCCTTTTTTATTTTCTACATTCACATATACTTTTCTCCATTACACATATTTCCGTGTATGCATATATAAAAACCAAACACACACGCACCATCACACACCATCAATATCCTCCAC